AAGTGCTGTGAGAGTTTTTGATAAGCTGTGGACTTCATCTTTTGGACTACGAGAGCGTGCTGGGCTCAATGGTTAATGACCTTACTTCGGGCCCTTTTAGGTTAAAAGAGTACTAGAATAAGAAAAAGTTAAAGTCTTCATTAATGGACATCTCTACAAAACCAAACTAATAGTTAGATAAAAAGTAGGTTAAAATAAAATCCCATGAAGTTATCTCACACTTACCTCAGTACTTTATCTCATTAATTACTTCGAAGGAGGTCAGCCTGTGGGCATCAATGACAAGCTTCACTTACAAGTGTATTCTATTATTTTATCTCGATCTAATAGATTCAGAATGAAAAAAGCTACTAGTGCATCCATAAAAATGTCAGACCCATTTATTATCTCTCATGCCTTAACCTCAGTAGTGACATTGACCTTTGTTTCACTATCTTTATTTATTTTTTATTTTTGAAGGAAAAAAAAAGTAGTTTTCAATTTTTTAAAGAGCTTAAGCAATAGAGGAATAATTTTTTATTGGGCCAAGCTGTTACGTAATACCACATATTATCATTAGGGTGCTCTTTAATGAAAAAAATCCCTTGAATAGAAAAAAAGTAGGAAGAATGCTTAGATGTTGAAAAATAATGATAAAGCCTACTATATAACATCTAGTGTTAGGAATGACTGAGTGATAGTTAAATTGTAAGAATTAAAAATTAAAATAAATAAAAAATGAAATGAAAATCTCATATTAGCCATGAATGAATCCTAATATACACAGACCCAATGTGGCTGCAGTTATCAATGACTCGATTTGAAGAGTTCAGCATTAATATGTTATATCCCTCTCTAGAAAAAAAAAAAAGGTCATCATCAAAGTACGAATGTAATAAGTTAAACACATGTTAAAATAGTTTTCAGGATTAACCATGCCCTTTAGTTCCCTTATCATGTCTTTGGCGATCATATCGAGGTCACAAAAAGTCTATAAAATTTTCCTATTCATTATCATTTTCCCCAGCCAAGGTATTCCCTTCTTTTTGTTCTTTTTCAAAACCCTCTTCATCGTCAAAATCTCCACTATCAGAAGACTTTGACTCTTAAGCAAGAATATGATTCCAAGGTTAAATGGTGGCTGAGAGCAATGCAACCTAAAATGAAGAAAGACTAAGTGGAGACCCTTTAAGCAAAAAAGTAATCTCAACAAAAACTGACCAAAGGGGAATAAAAATGATAACGAGAGCATCTATAGGTAGAAGAGCATAAGGAAAAAAAAACTGATGAGACTGAACCCTAAAAGGAAAATAGCTAAAGATGAAGAAAGGTCAACCATAGAAGATGGATCTACGGCTAACCTAAAAAATAGGAAAAAAATGGATTCTTGAAGTCAAAATTTATTTAAGCACATAGTTTTTTTATGCTCAAGACCCATTCTTCTCTTATCTGAGCATTGTTCTCGTTTTGCTGCTATCTTTGTTTAGACATTAGGTTGAATAAGAAGGCTATCTTTTAACAATCACGACCTTCGATGACTAACAAAATCAAGTCGTCATCATCTTGCCCAAGCTAACCCTCTAGGTTCTATCTTGAAACTTTCGACCTCCCCAGAACTAATGCTAGAAGACATAATTGAAAGTATGTACCAAAGAAAATAGAGTAAACGAGCGATAAAAAGAATAACTCTAAAGCCAGAAAGCTTTTAAGATCAAAAAATTTAGATTAAACAAAATGCAAAAAAAATAAAAATGTGAAAATTGAAAGCCCTAATAGCCCTTTATATAATCGTACCTCAGATCAGATAAACTGCACAAACTATACCACACATCAAAATGAAAATGGAAGATATCTTTTTATCTTTTTTTTTTTAAATTTTCTTGCTTAAACTTCCTTTTTTTCTCTTTTAATGCCATCAAACTAGCCAAACTAGACAGACCTCAAGTCAAATCGACTAGACCAGATGACTTCCTATGAAGGTTAAATATCAAGTTTGTCATCAAAGTTCAAAGTAAAGACTCGAATCCTAACTCTTGAAATAAAACACAAGTGCAACATCAACCAAACGAACTCCAACACTAATCTTGGATCATCCCAAATAATTAATACCTCGATGACCTTCAAGCCAACTCTGCACTTAACCTAACACAAATGCATAAGATCATACCTCCACAAGATCTAACCACGACTTAAGGCTAATTGTCTCCCAATGCTGACCTCCCTAAAACGTTAGTTGCGAAAAATCAAATTTCACGCCATCTTTTTTTATCTATATGCCCTTCACGAGTGTGTCAATCGCACACCTAGTAGTCTAATACTTAAACTGCTTGATAAGAGAATAGAATGTTAAGGGCATTTAATGTTAAAAAAGGTATAGTGATCTTTTTTTTTTATGTTAAAAGCCTTTAGCAGACAGTTAGGAAAACTTTCGATATTTGTGCCGACCTAACATGTCTAGTTAGTCTGATATACTCAATGCCATATCAGCTCGGTTACATCTTTATTGTCCCCTATTGGTCCTTTATGCTTATTAATGAATACGAATGTCTAGGCACTATTAAAGCAAGTCCAATCTATTCCCGATTCTTCTTACCGCTCTCCTTTCGACGTTACTCTTTTTTACTTACCCTTCGAAATGCAAACGTAGGGAACACTCCTTGTATTTGTCTTTAACCATCTTTCTTTTCTGTTTTTTCATAAATACCCAAAGATCAAAGATTGACACAAACAATAAATATTAGGGTTTTTTTATGAAATACTATTTAGATCATAATTAAAATACATTATTAATATGTTTATAAAAAATCCAAACGTGATTCAAATCAAATCATCTGCAATCTATTTTCATATTATCGTACTACAACTTAAAAGAAAAATTCTTTCAATATTCTTTTTCAAATCTCATAGGCTATCTTTTTTTTCTTTTTTTTTTAAATTAATGAATTAAACTACAAGTCTACAACCTTTTCAATCAAGTTTCTTCCTTCTAGAATAAATTTTTGTGCCTTTATGCATGTTTCTTGTAACATAATTAGAAAGGCAAAAAAAAAAGGCAAACCTTTCAATAAGGAGAGCAAGAAGAAGCATAACAGGAACTACAAATAAGAATCCATAAACAATGGTAATCCTTAAGCTCATTCCATCATTTGCTACCAATTTGTACAACACATTCATTCCAACAAACGTCATTTGAACCACCACTATCACCATTGCTACTGGCTTTATCCCCATTTTTTTTTAAAAGCTTCTACCTTATCGTTTTCTACTGCTTCTGTTCCTTTGCTAATAGAGCACTATAATTGCCAAAACCTTAGGTTATTAAAACAAAAGAAAATAGTAAGCGATAGAGATTGTGTTACCATAATCATAAGTTGTAACATATTTGGGAGCTTCATATGACGTATTCAAGTACGTAGAACCTAATCAACACATGCTTAGTTTTCAATATTTTAATTAAAATTTATGGTTTATGAATTCACACCTAGCTTTGTTCGATTTATGTAGTTATTTTTAAACGTTTTATACGAGTGTAATTGATATATTTGTGTTATAAATTATTTGAAATTGATTCGAATAAAATTTGAATTTATTTTGATTATTGTTGAGTTGAGTTCAAGTTTGAAAATAAGGCGAATTTGAGAATTTTAATGCCCAACTTGAATAGTTTGTTAGATTAATAGTAATTTTTGTATTTTAGTATATATTTTTGTTATTTTAATTAAGAAATTACTATTATATATATAAATTCAAACCTGAGTTTAAATATAAATAATTGAATTTGAAATCAAGTATAGAAGATAAGCTTTTTTTTATTTGATAAATGAGCCTAATTGAACGATTTTTATTTTAAATTAAGTTTGAGTTGAATTTCGAACAATAAATTTCAAGTTCAATTTGAACTTTTTACTCTATTGACTCGACTCAATTATCTTTCTAAAATATCATCTAACAAATATTAGATTCAAATATCAATACTTATAATCTTTCATGCTCATATTGAATCATAAACATGTTAAATATCACCTCTTAGAAATTACTTAAATATTGCACCTTTTCTTTTTGGTTAATTATAGGGAGATTTTAATTAATTGCACTTAATGATCAGAATATTGAGTTAATTAATAAAATTTGAATGTCAACAAGAAAATAGAAAAGATAAATTGAACGCATATATTGTCATAGGTTTTATATATTACTTGAAAATTATATATCATGATTAGAGGTGTAAATAAAACAAATGTTTGACGAACAGTTCATGAACATATTCAGTTTTTATTCATTTATATTCATTTATTAAATTTAACAAACAATTACGAACAATATTTTAAGGTTCATTAATTAAATAAACATATCATGAACATAATAAAGTTCATTTATATTTGGTTTGTTTGTGAAAATTAATAAAGCATTTAATGAATCATTCGTGAATATTTTTTACTAATATTTGTTATATTCATTTATTAAATTTAATAAATAATTATAAATAATATTATATGATTCGTTAATTAAACAAACAGATGATAAACATAATCATATTCGTTAATATTCAATTCTTTTACGCATCTTATTATGATCCAATCTAAGTTTTCGTATAATCTGATGTAGGTACTATATAAAAGTTTTTCTTAGCTTTTCCTATTAATATATAACTAATGAAAGGAGTTGCCGATCCCAATCATTCCTTTCATTTTCGATTAAACTTTAACTTGACACATTGAAACAAGTGATGCTAAACTTGTATAAGCAAATTTGTTCACATAAATTTATGATAGGCTGTTGTTTTAAAATATTTTAAATTAAGATATTATAGTGATTTTGTTTTAAAGATTTTTTATTGATTACAAATATTTTTTTAAACTCTTTTTATTTTAGGAAAATTAATTTTCAAAAAATGTTTAGAAGAAATATTTGTAAATATTAAAATTTAAATCTAAAATTTTTACATGAATCATCGGAGTAAAATTGAAATTCATATATATTAAATTTTTGCATATTTAAAATTCAAAAATCATTAATTTTATCTAAAAAACGCCAAGTCTTTGTCTCTTTCTGAAAAAGAAAATGTTGTAATTAGAAATAAACTCACAATTAGACTTCATTTCCCACTAGAATAAATTAACAACATAAAGCTTTTTCGTCCTTGATGTTATGAATGCTCACTATATTACATGTTGTTACTGAGTTTCCTTTGCTTCTGTCTTCTTTTCCTTCTGTTCCTCGATCACCTTTGGGACAGCCGGTGCCTCAGTTTTTGGTTCTTCTTTCTTTGGCTCTACCTTGACTTCTTCATTCCTTGCTTCTGGCTCTTCTTTTGATTCTTCTTTCTTTGGCTCTGCTGGCGCTTCTACTTGGGGCTGCTGGGTCTCATTTGGTTCCTTCTTTCCCTCAGTCTTTTCAGGCTGCAGCCCATGCATTACAGGAATAGATAAATTAGGCAATCAGTTCAACTACGGAAATGTGGAGTAAGCTAAAGAAAAGGTAGAATTGATAATACTACTTCAACAAGCAAAGAACCAAGAGATTGTTGTTTGGTTTCATCAACCTCATCAGCCTTGTTTTCCTCTTTCTCAACCTTGATCACTTCCTCAGTGGTGTGCTGCTCAGCCTGAACAGATTCCTCCTTGGCGGGTTCAGGAGGTGGCGCAGCCGAGGCTTTACCCCTCATTTCCTTTGGCACACTAGCGCAAGCACCCATGTCGGTTTGATCAATCTCTAAAATTAATTCCAAAAAGAAGGAGAGAACCTTAATTTCTCTCTTTCTCTTTATATTAACCTTAGAGAAAGGTTTGAAGAAGAAAACAAATAAAAAAAAAATGGAAATGAAGCCTATTGTGATGAGAATCATTTGCCTTATAGCGGCGCTTTAAATAGGGTCTTGGTTTGTTTTGCCCATATGTTTGTCAATGGTGCAGAAAGATTCAAGGGAGGCGGTTGCTAGTAATCTATATAATTTAACTTGTTTTTGTTCCTTAAATCTTAAAATAGAACTGGTTTTTAGGATCCTTTTTCACTTAATTTAGCCTATCTTACTATATTTATCAAACCATAGTTTAAATTACATTAGTTAATTTTAGACACGTACAAAAATGATACAATTTTAAATTTAGAAAGAAACGTATATGAGCTCAAAAAAATGTATTTCATATTTGATGTATAAATATAAATTGTAATATGATAATTTTTACATTTTGCATATATTTGACATGAAATAAGTATGATACAAATACATCAATTGATAAGTCTAGTTTAACTTATAATTGATTTATGGAAAAAAAAAACTTATTTTAAGCAGTTTTTGAAAAAAAAATTAAAATTATTTCTATTCACTTTTTAAGTTAGAGCAATTGGTTCTGTTCTATATCATCATATTTTCAATGAAAATAAACTAAATTTAACCGTAATTAATATGAAATAAGATCATCATTTGTAATTCATGAACACAAAGCAAATTTGATAAGATTTCTTCATTTCATTTTTACTTTTAGAAACATGAATAATTGCAACAAATTTTTAGTAGTCTAAACAACAATGAATTTTATTTAAAAAATTTTGAAATCTCTATAAAAGAGAAAAGAAAAAAAAAAACAACAGCAAATAAATATGTGAGTACATGTATCATTTCATATAATCAAAATATTTAAATTTGTAATTATTTTATTTTATTTTTTTTATTGAAATATTTATATTGATTTGATAATTTAAAATATAATATAATAATACAATACAAACATAATATAAAAAAAATACGAAAGTGACAATTTAAATTTTTTGTAATAACTATATATGATGTATTTAATATTTTTATACTAACATAAATTACGATGCATAATTTTTATATAAAATATAATATAAATACATAAATTTTAATATTTTATATAATACGCAAATTATCGTGTCTTCATTTATATTTTGTATATTGAACAGATTATGGGTCAGTCCCAACCTGGATTAAATTAAGCCCATATGAATTGTGGGCCACTATTTCGCTTTACCTTTAAGGCTTAAGCTCCGTTGAGCTTGACAGTGGGTCGGGCGGTGCTTTCCAATGCCAGCCCACTCCACAATCAAAAGAGAACCACAATCAAGCGTGATGGGCTTTTGAAAATGGTTATATAGCTTTTGATTTGCATATATTCAAACCGGTTTAATAAACCAAAGGTTCAGAAGTCAACCAATCTGAACTCATATAGACACATAACTGAATAATGTAGACTTCAGATCATCCAAATCAGAAGCACTTCCGGTGAACAATAGCAGGACCAGATTCATCATACTCACCCTTGGAAATCCACGTCTGCGACATTGAAAAATGGAAAATGAGCAATGAAAGCCAACTAGATCAAATACATCTCACAAGAGCTATACTTGGAAAATTGGAAGTTTCAAGCACAAAAGTTACCTGCTAGAAGGTGCTAAGAGATGCTAAAATGGATCCTCCAACCCTGACACTCTATTTTCTCTCAGGAGGTGCAACCGCCTTGATCTTCATGCTGCTAGGGGCAAGAGTAGTGATTTCCTTGCTTATCCTATCAGCAACAGCAGGGAACATTGTTGATCCACTGCTAAGAACAATGTTTCCGTACAGATCCTTCCTGATATCAACATCACACTTCATGATAGTGTTATAAGTAGTTTCATGGATTCCAGCAGCTTGCATTCCAATCAGAGATGGCTGGAAGAGTACTTCAGGGCAACGAAACCACTCTGCTCCAATTGTGATCACTTGCCTATCAGGCAATTCATAACTCTTTTCAATAGCAGAGCTACTCTTGGCAGTCTCCAATTCTTGCTCATAATCAAGAGCGACACAAGCACTTTTTTCTTTCATGTCACGAACAATTTCTCGCTCGGCAGTCGTTGTGAAAGAGTACCCTCTCTCGGTTAAGATCTTCATCAAAGAATCTGTAAGATCACGACCAGCAAGGTCTAATTGGAGAATCGCATGGAGGAGGGCAAAGCCTTCATAAATTTGCACTGTGTCGCTCACACTGTCTGCAGAATACAGGACAATACCTATTCAAATATGTGAGAATAGAGTTAATACTACATGAAAGGAAAACAAACAAAACAAAATCTTCATGCCAATTTCTAGTTTGCAATATTAAATAACAAAATAGCATCAATGAACAATGCCAAGTGACTTTACGACTAAAGTTATTTCATAGTCAGAGGCCCCATAATACAGCCAAAAGCAGTTATCCAAGCTATAAATAGATACCTGTTGTACGACCACTGGCGTAAAGTGAAAGAGCTGCCTGAATAGCAACATACATAGCAGGCACATTGAATGTTTCAAACATAATCTGGGTCATCTTTCCCTATTAGCGTTAGGGTTAAGTGGTGCTTCTATGAGAAGTATTGGATGCTCTTCAGAGGCAACACGAAGCTCATTGTAAAAATACATAAAATACAAAAAGACATGGTATATAGTTTGTTGAATTGAAAATTAATAATTAAAGAATGTAATTACATAGAAATGTAATGAACAGAAAATTCTGTTTTTTTTTTTTATTCAAAAAATTTTTTTATTTAAAGAAAAGGTCATTTCAGCCCAAAAACTACTTGTGGACTATTATGTTGACCCAATATGGTTAGGAAAGCCCAAACACGCTGATCCAAACCAGGCACGTGGTGCGTAATACGCACTCGGGGCACTTTAAACATCGAATATGCTCCCTTTTCGCAAAAAACAGGCCTAGCCGTATTAGAGATTTCGTGCTCTTCTGGTACTCTGAAATTTTCTATTTTTTTTAAATTTTCTTTTCTGTTAACACGTATGATATTTCTATCTTATTTGGTTCTGATGGATTTTTTTATTGTTGACTGATCTGGACTTTTTCCTTCAGTTATTGTTCTTGATCTGTAAATCTAGGGTTTTGGGTTTAGTAGATTTAATCTTTTCCCTTTTTTTATTGTGAATAAGAAAAATAAGAAATTTCAATTCTTTTTATTCCAATTTCAATATTTCATTTTTATGTTTAGGGTTTTGGAAATTTACTGGATTGCTGACTGACTTTGTAATATATATGCTTTTTATAGGTTACCTCCATAGCTCTTCGCTGCTTAGTTATCGACTTCGTTTTCTATGTAAGCTTATCTTTTCCCATGTATTTTTATATCTGTTTGATCATGTGCTTACAAGTGGACTGAGTTTGATGACAATATATATTTAAATATAAATGTTAGTGATCATGTGGGAGTTAAAAATTTTGTTTGTTGTTTTCTTGATATGTCATATCATTATGGTGCATATATGTATATAAGTTTGTGATTCATGTAGGGTGTTGGTAGGTGGGGGTTGTTTGTGTGGGCTGACATGGACGCTGCAACAGATTGAACACATAATATTTTTGGTTATTTTGATGAAATGATTTCATACTTTGCCAAATTGGAATTAAATAAGCAATTCCTTTATCTAATCTAACCAATCGGTTAAGCAGTGGGCAGGGCATAGGATCAGGAGGGCTACTGGAAAAACCAGTAAAGGAAATGACTTACAGTGCTCAAACATCAAAATTGTTCTTTTTATCATCTAACATTATTAGATATTAAGATAAATTATCAGGAAATAACTGATATATTCTGATAAGAGTAATTGCTTATAATTATTTCAATCTTTGTCTTTTTGGTTTTAGTAGATACTTTCTTCATAATTACATTTTTTTCTCCAATTTGTGACTGCCTTTCAATACCATGCCCATATCTCAGTAATTTATCTTTTAAAAATATTTTAGGGCAGACGAGGAACCTGTTGACCAAAAAAGGCATCTTGAAGAGGCTTGCAAGCCTAAATGCGTGAAACAACTTCGTTCCTATGAGGTTTGTAATAAACTAGTTGGTTTGGAAAATTGAGCTAGGTTTACCTATTCTCTTTTACCATTCTTTCAGTTATATGAGTTTTATAATTGTTGTTAGAAGTATAAACTCATGCAGTGTTGTTTTATGCTTTTATTAGTGGAATTTTCATGGGGGATTACTGTTTTGTTGTCTGTTGTCTTGCACTCCATCTCTCTTTTTCTTTTGGGTGGTTTATTTCCTGTTTTTATTAATTGTTATAGTGTGCTTGTAAATAGTCTCTTATTTACTTTTTCAAAGAATCACTAGCCCTAATTGTTTTCTTAGGATTGTATCTGTGTTTTGAGTGAGTTACTTGTAGATCCCTGTGGCACTTTATGGATTACTTTCAGTTTGGGGGCTAAAAGTTGTTTCATGAATATCTTGAAGTGAAACCCACGTTCCATTTCTAACTTGTTGATGCCAACAAACTTTTCCTCCCTTACCAACTCATTTGCTACTTTGCACATGAAAATCATTTCTGCAGCAATATTATGCTGTTTGCATAATAGTATCTCAGTTTGGAGAATCCCATAAAAGGGCATATTTACTAATTTATTTATTTTTAAATCTGCCTTCCTATCTTTTTCATCTGTTTTACTTGAATTTTTTTGGCTAACTGAACAAATGCTTTCTTAAAGGAAAATTAAAGGCAGAAGACCTTCTCAACATCTGATGATTCTCTATGGATTGATTGCATGCTCTACATTACCTACCTTGCCCCCATATAACCTGATGAAAAGGTTGAGGCCAGAACTAGTTATTGAGGATATATGTGAAGTCTTTGTAATGCAAGTTGTTTTCTTCTACTGAGCCAGATGCAACTCCATATTTCCCTAAAAACCAGATCAAAGCAAAATCTGACAACATACTTACTTGATGAAAATGATAGGTCTTGGTAAAATATATATTTACTCTCAAAGGGGTTTGCCAGTGTCTTATCTTTTCTTGAAACTTATTAATTGTTCTAAAATGTTTAAATTTATTATTGGACATGTTCTTGTTTAGAACATTCTTCTGCTATGATTTGAATTATGTGGCAACTTATAAGTTAGTGCTTTCATACAGGAGTGTGTTAAGAGAATCCAAGGTGATGAAAGTGGGCACAAGCATTGCACTGGTCAATATTTTGATTATTGGTCTTGTATTGATAAATGTGTGAGTATTTTTATTTGCTTAGCCTCATTTTGGTTATATTCTGTACCTTGTCCTGATACCAACTTGGTGGAATGCAGGTTGCACCAATAATATTCTCGAAACTGAAATAACTGGGGCCAATGTTGTTTGACATCAGCATCATGTCCTGCTGTTTTGAGTTTGAAAGCGATTGTTTCAGAAACTATCAATCTTGTACCGCCTGCGTGGCTTATCTGAGAACTGCTAAAATTTCGTGTGTTACTGTGGAAACCTTTAATCATTGTCAATAAATTTGGATCATGGAAGACATGCCTATGGTGCTCTAGGTAACTTAGGAAACTCATTAATTGACCTAGTTGATGATGTTAGCAGTAGCAAGAGATGTATTCCTAACTTAGTTTCATAGTCAATCGTAATTAGTGCTCTATCCAAGGCTGGAAGGATAGATGAAACTAAAAGGAAATTCAAAGAGATGATAGGTAAAAACTTGCAACCTGATCCAGTTATTTTGGATACTTTAATCCATATTTTCTGTAAAGAAGGAAAGATCTCATCTGCATTTCGAGTGCTCAAGGACATGGGGAAAAGTGATGTAATAAGAGCATACAAACTTATAATTCACTGATACTTTGCTTAGGAAGTAAAAATCAAATATTTGAAATTTATGGACTTGTGGATGAGATGAGAGAAAGAGAGATTACTCCTAATGTTTGCACATACAATAATATTATTTGGTCTCTTTGCAAAAATGGGAAAATCCAAGTCACGACGTCTATCTTGGATGAAATGCAGCAAAGGGTATAAACCCTAATATTTCTTCCTTCAGGATGTTAGTAGAAGCTTTCTGCATGGCATGTGTGGGCACGGGGAAGCCTTTTATTGTTTAATGTTCAGAAGCTAAAGTGGTCTTTGAAGCTGTGTTAGATAGATCATTTCATCTGGGCGGCTTCCTCTAAAAGGATCTCATTGAAAAACTCTTTTAAAAATGGGAAATTAGAGTAATCTAGTGGTATGTTACACAAGTTGACTATCAAAGGATATAGATTTGATCCTGCATCATTCATGCCGATGGTTGATGACTTGGGTAAGGGAGGAAACAAGCATTAGGCTGATGAACTTGCTGAGAATCTATTGGAGATGGATTGGCAAATAAGATATATCTAAATGCACGAGAATCAATCCATAGAAAGAAACAAAATATGGTGGAGATGACTGGCAAACAATAATGCACAGGTATGGCTGATGTAGGAATTCTGTCTTTGTGTCATTTCTTCTTTGGCTTCTTTGATCTTTGGAATGTTTGGTGCTAATAGCTAAATATAGACATCACTGAACTATAGTGTTTCCTCAAAAAGGAAAAAAGTATAAAGAATTCATTTTCTAATAAAATCATATATATAATTTCATGGTTTAAGTTTGAGAATGCTCTAGTTCTGAAGCAGTCATTTACCACGCACCTTTTATGTATTTTGGTATTGGAATATTCAGCTGCCCGTAAAACTGGTTGTCCAGTACTCCAATTTGGGTAAATGAATACACTGTTAAATATCAGGTGTACAGAATAATTCTAATCCTAGTTACATACAAGTCATACACAACTTTAACAAAGATGCCAGATGAAAGAATTCAAGCTTTCTTCAGAGACCTAACCTTAAATCCAAAGCTAGGCCCGAAGAAAAAGAAGATGAATCATTTTCAACAGGAGCAGGTAAATTCAGGTCCAAACCGCAATTTTGCCTTGTTGCCAAGAGGTTGAGCCCTTGGTTCAGTGATGTTTCATACCCCCTCTCCCAATGGCACCTCTTATGCCCGCCTAAGGCTTGACCACTAGAGAATACCCTCAAGCAAATGCTGCACTTGTGACCCAAAACCATCATCAACTTACTATTATCTTCCACATTTTGTTTCACTAAGCCATCATTATAGCCGCTCTGATCCTCAACCTCATAGCCTTCACTTCTTGTTACTGCGAAACAACCCCGTACATTCTTGTGACTAGCCCTGTGGCCTCCCAATGCTTGATGCGACTCAAAAACCTTTTTGCAACTTGAGCATTCGAACCTGAAATTTGCATCCAAATTTGCCCCAAAAGCATCATTTTCTTGAACCCCAAGTTGACAATTTGTATCACATTCGCTCTCACTAGCAGCAGTACCATTGGCCAGCATCAACAAGGATGCTGCAATCTCATGATCCTCCTCAGTGATCAAGGCCTCGACATTATTCTTCTGTGTAACGGGGGAAACGGGCCGACGATGATTAGGAGGAGGGTTGATTCCACGCCACTGTCTCTCAGGGTGACATCGCATGTGTCCGAAAAGTGCTTTCCATGACCAAAATTTCCTCCCACATTCACTACAAGGCCGCGTAATCTTTGGTGCAGCAGGGTCAGGTTTTTTGGTATATTTAGGCCTGGAAACGATGCTAGAACAAGTTGGGAATTGACCATCATCGATCTTTATCAATTTGGACCGTTTCTTGCTGTTATTTGGATCAGAATTCACAACATGGCTTGACGAAGAAGGGAAGTCAGCGATGTTATGTTGGGTAGGAGAAAAAGTGAACCGAAACCCAGGATCAGAATCAATGTTTTCATCCATTTTCAGAAAAAGATAGCGAAAAGACAATGAAGAGTTGAAAGAGAAAAAAAAAGGTGCAAAAATGGTGGATGTCTTGCTTATGTAGGAGTGTTGGCAGTTACTAGATTATGGGACAGGGAAGTTTTGAGTTGGGCGGTTTTTTTTCTGTTGGATGTTGGAAACATGGGGTGGTTACCTTAGCCTTAGCCATTACCGTGGGTCATGCTTCAGTGTATTCACCGAGCATTGAATGTAACGTGCATGCTCTACCATGGTAGCCTATAAGCATGCGCCTTTGGCCATGGATAAATGTTCAATGATTCATTGCTTCGATGCTATTTATAAAAGGAATCAAAAACATTGAACCTGCTTTAATCCAATTGGTTGATTAATTGGTTCCAAATGGTTCGTCCACTCTTTTAAGAGATAGATTCGTGCAAAGTTGGAGTTTGATCTACAGCATTTGCAATTCTCCTTATCTTTTAGACTTCCTTCCTTTGTTCCAAAAATAAAAGTAACAGGAAACTATTAAGGAAAGTGAACTGCTGAAAAGAGGAATATGAAGAAAATCTAGAATTGAAACAGAGCCAGACAAAACATTTAAAGTAATTCATTGAAAACGCAGGGGAAGAGAGAGAGATCGGATTCAAAAGCAAGGAACTTTGCCTCCAACGAAGTAGTTTAATTTACTGCTTAGTCCTTTGTACTTTCTAATTTTTTTGTTTCTTTAACGGGTCTTGGGCAATTTCTAACATGACACCCCAATCTTTAGAGCATTTATAGGATTCCCCTACTTAAAAAAATATATATTGAGATTTGTTATTCAAGTCGAAAGATTACCAAATAAATTAAAAATAAAACATGATTTCTCGTATCTTTTTATTTTCTTTTCCTTTTTTTTTTTATTTTTGGCTTTTTCAATTTTTTTCTAACAATTGTTAATCTTAAAGTCAAAATATAAAATTAAGAATAAAAAATAAATTACACCCAAGTCCTTGGGTTTACCCTTAATTGAGGAACAAAACATTAGGTAAAAGTAAGTTACCACCCCAAGTCCTTGATATCCCGCTTGTGTATCCTATTTTGCACTTTTTCGAATGGGACAAGGCAATGCACGTTCACATTTCTTTCAACAGGAGTGGATTGGAGCGAAAACAAAGTAAATCTTCTTATCTTGCACTTACATGCATGCTTGAACAGCCGATTTGCAGCAGTTTATCGACTTCATATCATACTATGTAAGAGTAAAATTTCCAGTAAGATTCCATAGAATCGAAAAGCAACGAAGAACAAAAACCACAATGCCAGAAGCATCCTCTTAAGTTCTTAAAAATAGAAAAAAAATAATCCGAACTGTATGTACATAAGCAAGTGCGTGATTTAAAGATGAAATGATCATCCAAGTATGCATAAAGCATATATCAACAAGTTCTCGGGGGTATATCATCGTGTTTACCTGCTTATTCAACATGCCCGAAACAAGGAATCAGCATATATGTTGTATGCCCATAATCTGTGGTTTGCTAAGGCACCAGTCGAAATCAACTAATCTTACATGTCTTACATGAGAGTTGGTCGAATTCTAAAGCATAAAATTTTGAGGAATTACTGCCCGGAATTTCCCAAAAGTCTCTCAACCGCAGCATGGATATTTCCAGCAGTAGCACGTAGTGCTCTGATATTCTCTTGTGTATCAGAGAAACCCATTTCTTGGAGTTGTGATAACTGTGTAGCATACAGCTCTTCTGGGGGAACTGGAAAACAATGAAGATGACATTAGCAGTTACCCAAAAGTGTCGCAAATCTAATAAAGGCAAAGTCTTCATAAAGATATAAGAATGCTAACCATCAGGTTGGTTAGGAACACTCAGGCTACCAGCACCTAGACCACCAAACATATTCATCAACAACTCCAGACCAGCGGTACCTGGTGCCCCTGAAAATGCAATTAAATTAAATGAAATGTAAAACAAAAGGATAGATGAAAGAAGAGCAGGTAGTGGAAGGTAGCTAACTAAACTAGAGAGTTTAACGTTAGAGAGAGCCCTTGACAGTTCAAGTAAGTACTCTTCATGCCCTTTGTAGAGAAAATCCATAACTACAGTTTGCAATTGTTTTTATTCTCTACCTGTAGTAGCGCCAGTCTGTGCTGAATCCCTGTAAGAAAGCCAATGTGGTGAAAAAAAAGGCAATGATAATCATCAAGGCATGAATCCTAAAGGTATGTTTAATTTACTTTTGTAATCATCTTAGGGCCAAATTACCATACAAGAGAATTTGATTCTACTTTTTAAATCCTTCATATGGTCCAATCTAAACCAATAATTTAGAAATAATTATCTAATATAATTGCACAAGGTACAAGAAATCTAGGTCCAATCAAGACACCAAACATATTAATTCACTTCAGAAAACAATTTTGATATATGTAACAGCAGCATGTACAAGTCTTAGGACAACCTCAAAAGCAAGAGTAGCAACAGACAATTAAGTTTTTAGTTACCAATAGAAAGAGGTAACATCACTTACTGGGTTGATTGCTGTCCATTGAGCTGAGACAGAAGTGACTGCTGTAAAGCTAGCATTTGCTGCAAGAAATAAAAGAAAACAAGGGAAAGGTGAACATAGGTGACTATACAGTACTTGAAAACACCAAATAATCTGATATTATCCAGTGGGGTACCCTTAACATGCCTATAAGGTGACCTTATATAAAAGACGACTACAAAACCATAAAGTCATGTAAGCATTTTATATTTATTAGTAGAGAATTCGGAGATGCATACAGCATAGAATATACCTGCATTGTCTCAGGGGAAAACATCTGACGAAGTGCCTCTGGGTTTTGCATCATTTCTCTCAATTGAGGATTCAAATCAAACATAATTCGTAGTTGGGGGTAGAGATTCATAATCTAAAAAGCAAAAACAGATTCTTAACAACATGGAATTAAGCAAATGACAATCTCTTGCTGAAGTGATTCTTCAAAGTACCTGATTCATATATTGGGGATTAGACGTCATGCTATGCATCATCTGTGATATAGCTGGGTTTTGCAACAATTGAGTCAACTGAGAAGCATCTGGCATTCCATTCAACACGGGTGGCATATCTGGCAGTCCAAGGCCTCCAAGACCACCAATACCTGGTGTCTGGACATTTGCAGCAGGATTTGACCTTGCAGTAGTATTGGTCTCGGTCCCCCCTGGCAATATGCAGCACACAGTTATTCATCAGGAAATCTGGATTTAAAACACATATGGAACAGTAGTAAATTGCACTTAAAGACAACAAAAGATTTAGATGTTCTAGTTCACTCTATATTAACTTTCGTGCTGCAACTGTGGTAAAACATTGTAGGAGACATCGGCTTAACTTACCATACAGTTTTCTTTTCCTAAATATGAAGGAATCCCTCATTTGGAGAATGTCAAAACAAAAGTTAAAACTAATTCATAATCATGCGACATTAAATATGAACAACAAGCTATGATTAGATGAGTTTCAAACAAATCAGTCATCCCACAACTGAACAAATTTAGTATAACATCCCATTTAAACATTTCAGATATTCTAGTTCAGTCAACATTAGTTTCATGCAGCAACTGTGGTAAATAAGACATGCACTTCAGCTTACTGCAGAAATTTTCTAACTAAGAATTGGTCATCCATATTGCAAAATGTCAAAAGAAAGGATAATAATACAAATGCTTGCAACATTAAAAAGGATAAAAAACCTATAATTACTTGAATCTCAATCAAATCATTCACCTCACAACTGAATAAACTCAGTATAATGTTTCATTTTAAACATTGATAATGTTTTATTATAAACATTGATCAAGTCCACATAATCAAAATTCCTTAGACCATAAGCTTTCAGGATGATGCTTCTTTCTTCAAACACATAAATTTTTTCTTGTCAATCAGTAGCATTTTAGATTCTGATCTACCTTTCTTGTCTACAACAGGAATAGCATGTGCATAAAATTAAAAAATATGCACATTGGACCAAAGAGTACGGCTAGACAGAAAAGATGCTTTAATGAAGTACAGAAGGCTGAAACTAACCACCACCAACGGTGTTGCTCCAAGGGTTAGGAAGAGGATTTGTGTTTGGGGAAGTTTGTCCCTGAGTGGTTTCAGAACCAGTTGTAGAAGTGTTGTTGGGTGAGTCCCTAGCTGGAGAACCACCTTGATTGCCCAATAGAGCTGCGAATGGGTTTGAACCCAGACTATTTCCATTATTTCCAGCCATAGTCGTAGCATTCAAAAAGGGCTCCTGAACATTTTCATACATACGCCTAAGCATGTTAAATCCCTCAGGAGAGGATTCAATATTACTCATTGCCCTGTCAGTGTTTCGCATCATTTCACGCATGAGTTCAGGGTTTCTTGCAGCTTCTAATGTCTGCCGAAGAATGCTTGGATCATTAAGTACATGCCCAAGCTCTGGATTCCGATCAATAATCTCACGCATTTGGGGATTGCTCATAATCAAACTGCGCATCAACTCTGGGTTATTCATCAAACTTCGAATAGCAGGTGTATTCATTAGTTCCATCATCACATTGGGATTTTGAGTTAGTTGTTGCTGTACTTGTTCAAATTCACGAAGTCCAGATCCAAACAAATCAAAACCTCCACTGCCACCTAGTGGATTAAGTCCAGCGAATAAGGATGCTCCCAGACCAGCACCATCATTAGAACCAACACCTCGTGTCACCCCTGGTGAAGTATTAGGAGTTGCAACATTTGTGCTAGCTGCAGGAGGTGGCGTAGGTGAAGATGGGGCAAAACCACGAACCATGTGGACGGTATGATCAGCTTGCAAACCTTCATTGTGGGTCAAGTGATCATTGAATATTTTGGCATAAATGCACATATTACAAAGTTACTTTAACCCTCCAATGAAATAGATTTATGTTCTAAAGTAAGCATTAGGCAGCATTTACAATTGTTGGCCTTTAGGTATCATGATAGTGATTAAGAAGCTATCGAAATATGATTACACTGTCTTATTAAGTTATCAAACTACAGTTGTTTTAACTGATAAAAGTAACCAGATTTTGTGTTCAGTTTGCCACTCATATAAATGCTTTGTATAAAGAGAGGAAATATAGCATTCTTAATATAGACATAATATATATACATATATTTATTGAATTAATCATTAAGACAAACTGCTGGATAGAAAGAGGTAGAGAGTAAGTACACGTGATGCAAACTGCTTAGCTAAAAGAAACAAAGGTTTGGCAAGCACTTGCACAGCACCATTCCCATCTGTCATTAAAGCTTTTCTTATGTTAAATGTTAAATGACTTTCTAGTTTTCCAACCACCAGCAGCTAAGAGCAAATTATCCATAACTCATTAACCAAATAAAACTATATCATCGGTTCTCAAATGACTCGCAAATCAAGGTTAATATTAATATTAATGCCTTCCAATTTCTTTTCTTCTGAACACATGGATATAGCTATCCAACAAAAACATCAGTGATCATGTCACCATCTTGAATTACTCCTGGTTAGACAATCAAATACATGGCCATCTAAACCAGCTCAAAAACAGCTCAACAAAATCAATACCAAACCACCAAAATCAGCATTTTCGCCAGGTAACAACCTAATTCTAAAACCCCTTTTAAGAAAATCAAGCATTTTCCTGACACTTTCAAAACTTCTTATCAGTACTTTTTTTCCTTCAGAAATTTCACCGTTTTCTATTACGTTTCTTATATTTCCGTCAAAATAGGAAATACCCAACATTAAAAAAAAAAAATTTCTAAAGGCAATTAATACTTACCATAACTTTGAAGGGTTTGGTCGTCCTTCAAGATTCGCCCTTTATAAATCAATCGTTGCTGGGTAGCGGGGACATCACAATTCTGAGCCAAAACAGCTTTGAAAGATCCAACAGTTGATTCGAGGCTGGTCCTCACCGTAAACTTTGTACCGTTTGAGCAGCGGATGTTAATCATCACCCCCTCTTCTTCTCCTCCATTGCCACCTATTCGCGACTCACTCGAATCGCCTTTCGCATCCATATCGCCTCTCTCTCTCTCTCTCTGAGACTGATCAAGAACCCTAACCCTAGAAAACAAAAAAAATAAAAAAAATAATTTCCTTTCGCTTTCCTTTTTTATAAGTTTCTATTTCTTTCTTTTTTTTTAATTTAGGGATTGAAATTACTTTCTAATAAAAATTGAAATCAAAGAATTGGGGCAATTTTTACAAAGAATTGTGAAAAAGAAAAAAAATATTTTTAGATTTGGAGAAAATTGTGGGATTTTAACATTATAGAGCGTAGTTTGGGGCGTGTGTGTGAGCTCTTGTTCTTGTGAAACAAGAGAGTAAATTAAAGTGGAAATCCGGATATTCTTTATTTATTTTTTCAAACAACATGTAGCCAATAGTATTCTGCCACGTTTCGTAGAGAATGGTACCCTCGATGAGGGTTTTTAGTCTTGAAAATGGGCTCAACTTTGTTCGTATTCGGCCCAATTCAGTTGGTCCAACCCCTTATATTTATTGCCCATTGTTTAATTTGAAATTTTTTAAATTAAAAAATAAAAATATTTTCTATGCATTGCTAATTTCACATTTCTCCAAATATTCTAAATGTGAAAAAAAATATAACATAATTTGCATATTCTAAGTATGAAAAAAGAAATATTTGTCTCAAATGACTCTTATTATAGTTATCTGATTCTTCTCAAAGCATAATTTCAAAAGATTTTTTTTAAGTTTCTCTATAATATTCAAGTTAAACATGTTTACGGGTCAAATTATTAGATTTTTTTAATTCATAATCATAAATGATTGTATTAACTACATATTCAAAACAAGAAAAGTATAAATATAATCTTTTCTTTTTTGGAATTAAAAGTTATAGAATATCAATTTAAAAAAAGTAAAATTTCACGTAACATTTATCAAATCAAATTTTTTTCTTAATTAAATTCTATTAAACTCAAACAATAACAAAAAAAAAACTATGTGGCCAAAAAAAAAATTTATTAATTTTGAGTCAAATATAAAAAAAAAATTTTAATATCAAATAAAACAAATGAAACTCTATCCCGTTTCGATCTTTTATCATATCTAGAGATAAATAAATTAAATAAAAACAATACATTAGTAAAGTGGTGTAGTTATAATATATGAATGAAATAATGAATACCATGTTAAGTTGGGAGTAAAAACTAAAAAAAAAAAAAAAAGATGCAATAAAGTTGATAAAATGAGAAAAGATTGTATCTGCAGTAGATTAGATATATATGATGTAAAGATGTTTGTAGTTTCAAGAATAATTAAACGAAGGAATATGAAAGAGAAAAAGAAACAGGAACATGAACATGAACCAGTAAGTTTTATTACTCTACTACTCGATAAAATCAAATGCAAAAATTACATCTTGATGGAATTACATCACAATTCCATGACCGAGAAAATGGCATAAACCCCTTCGGACGATCGGGAGCCTCTTCATCTAATTTTCTTATTACAAGAAAAGCCCTCCACTGATTGCAGGAAAGGGTAACAATTAAAGCACAGCACGTCTTTAGCTTTAACATCCTAGACTAGTTTTGACTCACTGGAAGCTCAAAACAGATTGATAATATTAATGGGAAGCAGACAAGAACGAAAACAAAGAATGTGGTTGGAGAGAAGACAAGGAAAGAAAGAAAGCAAAGAGTTCATGACCAAATGTATAAGAAAGAAAAGAAAACTAATGAAATGAAAGAAACCGATTAAAAAATGGAAGGACTAAGTTGAAAAGATCAGAGAAGTTGACAAAGAGCACGAGCATGGCACCGAGAAGGATGAAAATCAACAAAGCTAGATTTATTTTTCCAAGGCATGTCCGCTTCTTTGAAAAGTGGCGGCGGTTCGGAGGTCGACGACCGTCATCATTCTGCTTACTCCATTTGCCCAGGAAGTGAGTGAGACCTCCAAAAAATCCGATATGAGTGATCCAAGTCTGAGAACGAGCCATAATAAGAAGGTAGGGTGATAAGAAGAGTAGTTTTTGAAGCGATTCTGAGAGAGCAGAGAGGTAGTTTCACGGGTTCTTTCTCTCTTTTCTTTCTCATGGTCGTTAAAATTAGTTATATATAGATATGCAAGTAGCCAATGTGTCTCACAATTCAGTTATGATAGCCTCTTTCATATGCATTAAATATTTACCGATCACTCCGTTATGAAAAGCAAAAGAAATAATCAAGCAAGGCAATTATACATATATAGTTAAAACTTAAAAACAAACCGAGTTTAGAGTCTCTACATATCTATAAAATTGTTCTAAGAAAACAATTAGGCTGTTCAAGTATTCACCGTATGGCCAAAATTCTCCTACGCTAGCTTGACTTCCATTCTATCTGTTGAAACAATTTATATATATATATATATATATATATATATATATATATATATAAAACCTACCTATAGAGTTGGTGTGAACCAACTTATTCGAGAAGGCGATGGAAGTTTGACACCAGGAAATGACCGTTCAATTCTTCCATCTTGTAGGTAAAAGACACCACAATCGCGAGAAAGGATGGGGCCTGGATCTTCACAACAGTAATGTGCATCTTCAGTAAAGTAAATGCAATTTCCTTGAATCCCTGGACAGTCTTTGGCTGAAAGAGATAATGAACCTCCATAACCTATGAACAATACTTGGCCATCTATGTTGTTCAACCTATGCCACTGACCAGTACCAGGATCCATCTTGTATACATGAAAGCTACTTGTTTCGTAGCAGTCTAGTGGAATACCGTCATCTTGATCCATCCTATGAAATTCGTCATAGATTCTTTTGATTACAAGTATTTCATTGCTAGCTGATTCTACTAAATATAAATTAGATGAGTTCTTTGACAATAAGAAAAAATCATTCGCCATGAGCCCAATCTCTAGAGTGACGTCTTCAGGTTCAATGTGCAAACAGGGAATTATATTTAAATTCACTTCACACCCAGCTAATTCTAAATTGTAATTTTCGAAGTGTTCTACGCTACTTATCACATGCAGTGTTCTCTTAGTAAAGAGGAAGTCAACAAAAATGAAATCCGTAACTTCACCTTTACGACTAAAAATGCTCCATTGCTTGTCTCCTGGCCTGCAGATTGCAACCATTATAGGAGTGGGATCACAAGGGTCAAAAGCTCCTGCAACTATACATTCTGAAATGTTGGCTGAGGATAGTACGATCCCTCGGGCGAAGCATGAAATATTGTGTTCATTTTGTTCGTCTTCTCGTAGAAACTGTTGATAACCGGGAATTGTAAATAGAGAAGGTAGTTGGTGTACCTCTCTTGAAATTGGATTGAATAGAAAGATTTCTGATTCAGGTGTTGGCGACAGAGATAGAGCATGGCCAAGTGAGGGGATTGTAGCCTGTATTACTCCGTTGCAATAATTAGCCAACTTATCCCATCGAAGGGACGGACAATCCTTGGCCATAAGCAACCAACCTTTCGAAGATCCGCAGCATATCGCTCCTTGCAATCGCTTTGGCAACTTCAGCTTGTGTAGTTTACCCGCGGACATGTCAAAAAAGCTCAAGTGTCTGCTGTTCTTAACGTGGGGTAGCGTTAGCCATGGGATTTGGGGGGTGGTGGGGATATGTTTCTGCAAAGCAATTGCTTCCCAATATTTGCAGACGATACTCATACGTATGCGATCAGATATACATAGCCGCTCTACAATAACTTCCATGATGTCGCCTGGAGCCTCCTCCCAATATCCATTGGAAGTTTGCTTAATTCTCTTTGAAACTAGCTCTTCGATAACGTCCATGATTTCACTTGGAGCCTTCTCCCAATATCCAAGGGAAGTTTGCTTGATTCTCTTCGGAACTTTATTCTTGCGTCTGTTAAACCACAAAAATTTTGAGGGAAGCGGGCTCAAAGAAAGATAGTCTCCCAAATTACAATAAGAATGGAACTCCATATCAACTAACGATGGGAATAGATGGGAAGTTGTTTCTCTTCTTTATCCCTTTATATACCCTCTTTCTTTAAAAAAAAAAAAACAAAAAATTACACAATTTATATATATATATAGAGAGAGAGAGAGAGAAAGAGAGAGGTAGAATTTTACTATATCTCTCTCCCTTCTTTTTCTCTCACTAAACATTAGACCCATTAGAAGTTGAAATTTGTGACTCTCATTATCAAATTTACTTAAAAAAAATGTGTACAAAAGCTTCAGACGAGACAGGTATGCTCTTCGATCGAATTAATTATTTGGGAAAACGAATACATGCTTGAAATCTAAGAATGGCATATAGAAACCACGAAAATCATCCTAACTGACAATATTAAGACTTACAAGTCCAAGATGGAGGAGCCCATCTTCGAAAGTAATCAGTCTAGCTTAGCTATAACAGCATCAACAACTTCTTGTGTAGTGCTATCTCCACCAAGATCTTTAGTCCGGTACTTGCCTTCTGAGATTACACGTTTCACTGCATTTTCAAGTCGATCAGCAAATGAAGGAAACTGGAGGTGCCTCAACATCATGGCAGAGGAGAGAAGCAAAGCCACAGGATTTGCCTTCTTTTGATCCACTATCTTTTCTTTTCCCACGTTCCCTGCAGAAGCGCCTTGCTCAAAGACAGCATGTTCAGCTCCCACGTTGCCTATAGTGAAGAGAATTGTTTAATGAAATAGCCACAAGACAACTTATTTCAAATTATGTAGCAAGCATAATCACTATTCTGACAGGTTCCAGACTATATTCTTGCTATGAAATAGCTAAAAACTGAAAAGCAACACAAATTAATAGGAACCCAACACATAATCGATACCTCCAGGCATTACACCAGTGCCTCCAGCAATACCAGCTGCTGTATTTGCAACAAGATTTCCATAAAGATTAGGAGTAACCTAAAGACACAGAAGAGGTCCAACAGTTGAGTGAAAAGGTGAAACAGTCAAAGGTCAAACCACCGGCTAAATAACATAAATGGGATGCAACATAAAAGAAAGTTACAAAAATCTCCGGGGCAACGGACTTTCCTAGCAAATTATAAAGCATTTTCCACTACAACACAAATTGTGTTCTGCATTGATAACAAAGATGTCAAAAAGCGTACTTTACTGATCCAAGGTCAAGAAAATTTGGAATCTATGACTCTCTATTTTCATGTTGAACTAGTTTAAGACCTTGTATTTATCTCAACAAGAATACACATAAAACATCACAAGGCCAGGTAACACACTCAAAAATAACTTTCCAAGGATCATGTTCCACGAAATGTTAAAATTTTCCAAGTGTCATATATCAATATACACTGCAGGGGAAAGGTCAAGACACTAACTTCTAATTACATATGCAATATCATCATGCAAAAACATCAATGACTACCAATCCAGACCAAGGAGTTCATTTTAAAAGATGATCTATAACAAAATAAACACTATAAAAATCCACATACCATGACATCAAATTGTTCTGGTCTCGAAACAAGTTGCATACAACAATTGTCCACAATAATTTCATTGTATTTGATACTAGGATATTTAGTTGCAACTTCCCGGCAAGACTCTAGAAACAACCCATCGGCAAGTTTCATAATGTTGGCCTTATGAACAGCAGTGACCTTCTTTCGATTGTTCAAATAAGCATACTCAAATGCATATTTTGCAATCCGCTCTGAACAAAACTTTGTTATGACCTAACAAAAAAATAAAACAAAGCAAAATTACCCAGTAAGAAAATCTTCAAATTTTCATAAAAGAAAAGGCAATTCAATCATACTTGGTTACTTACCTTAAGGCTCTCAACAACCCCAGGCACCACTTCATGTTCGAGACCCGAGTATTCCCCTTCGGTGTTCTCTCTAATTACCACGATATCCACGTTTTCATGTCGGGTTGGCAATCCTGGTAAGTTACAACAATTGACCAAGGAAGCGTATAAATCCAATTCTTTTCTTAATTGCACATTCAATGAACTAACTCCACCTCCCATTGGTGTTCTCAATCCTCCTTTCAGACAAACTTCGTTCTTCTTTATTGAATCCATGACTTCCTTCGGCACCCGATTCATGTCGCCGTGAACTTCGTATTTCTCGAAGTATACCGGCGCGTGCATTGCTTCCATCACTTGTTCCACCGCGTTTGTCACCAATGGTCCGATCCCGTCACCTGGGATTAGGGTTACGGGTCTTGGGGCTCCGTCTCCTGGCCGGGGCATGTAGGTCACGGTTCGCCTTTGGGTTTTCCCCATTATAAGGGTTTTCAGAAGAGGAAGGGATCGGCGTGACGTGGACATTTTGGGGTGACGGTGTATGGAGATTTTGGAGTTATTGGCGGTCAAACAAGGGTTGTGAAGTTTGAGAGAAAGAAGAGGAACAGAGTTGCAGGAAAGACCATCGGACGAGACGCGAAGGCAAAAGAAGAGAAAGTCATAATTTTGCAAAGTAGCCCCTTAACTTTAAAGATTCTGTATTTTTATACGAAATTTTTAAAACTCTTTATTTGTGGACAGACTGAATTGTGACTAATACATTCTGCTATTAATATTGGTTTTTTTTTTTTTTTCATTTGTTTTTCATTTCTTTTATACTGTGGCTTTTTAATTAGATTGTAATATTTGCAATTTCTGTCAAATTACAAATGAATGAAATAACTAAATACGAATCTATAACTTAACTCCTATAAATTATTGATTTATATAATTATTTTTAATAGATAATATTTAACAGATTTAATATTTAAAATTTAATAATTCCAACCCTTTTCCCACTTTGCCACTCTTTTTTAAAATATTGTTTATTTTTTTTCATATTGAAATTCCTACAGGCAGTAAAGAATTGGTGCAGATTAGACTTCATATTTTTGGGGAGAGTAGAGCAATGCATGCTTTTATTTATAGGGGGAATTGTAAACCAAATATTCATGTTTTCAGCTGCTTGCAGTCTTGAAAGCTTGCGTAGCCTTTAAATCAAATTACCATAATAAAAGAGTATGCGACGCATGAGACAAGACAGAGGGCAGGCTTGTTCAGAAACACTGTAATGGAGATTGAATGGAGAAAGATGTTAAGTGAAGAGAAAGTGGGGGGAAATACAAAAATTGTTTTTATCTTCTCCAATTAGGGTGCATGTGCATTTATACAAACAAACAGGAAACCAATAGCCACAAATGAATCGAGTTAAGCCCATTAGGAAAAGTCCTACTGAAATTTTCCAAGAATACGATTACAAACTACAAATGAATCTGAATAACACTCATATATTGATATCTGGAGAAATTATGGGGTAAAAAGAAACCCAAGTGAAACTTTTACTACATCTAAGTAGGGGAAAGGAAGGTGATGGAGAAGAAAAAAAAGAGGGTATTGACACTAACCCCAACTGCAGAAACTTACCCGAATAGAGAAAAAAATGCTATCAATTGTCAAAATACCTACTCACCGTAATGGAACAAAAATATGTCTTCTGAATAGTCAAAGGTTCAAGTCTTGATTCAAACCAGCATGTGGACTTAATATCAAGACAAAAGTGCATTGCCCAATTAACTAAGTGCATAGGTACTCAGATAACCAGCTTCAGATCTGTATTTACTTTATCACATGGTACCTCCAATTTGGATCATGCTGCATCCTTCATGCGCTGGACCAGTGAAAATGCAGGCTCTGCAAATTATATCCAAAAGCCGCACTAATTGGTTGCTGAAGACGTAGCAACAGAGAACTGCCCAATCCCATCTTCTGCCCCAACAGTGTGAGTTGCTCAACAAACTCCATTTCGGTTAAAATTTCCGTTGTTCCATATATAACATGCTTGAAAGGCTGCTGACGCTGGGCAAGGTCTTGCAAGCTGCCATACTCCACATAATTTCCACCACCGATCATGAAGACAATAGCTTCTTTAAAGGGTCCTTTCATATGGCTACTACTAGTGCCAGAGCTCAACTTAGGGGCACGAGGATCAAACACAAGGTAAGAATCAATTTCTGGGTTTGGCTTACCCTCCATCAAAGCTTCCACATTCCTTGTCAATGCCAGCTGCCTATCACTAGGTAATAGGTTCTTCACACCTGCTGTGACAGCACTAATTGACTGACCATAGAGCTTCTCAGCCCAATCAACAATGTTATTTCTACTGGCAGAATTTGCTGATGCCAATGAAACATTCAATGACTTGATCTTCTTCACATACTGAAATGCACTTGTATCAACCCCAGATTCTCTTAGTGCTGCTTCCACTGCTTCGGCTTCTGATGGATTAATGATTTCTGATGAGATACCATACATTATAGCAAAATGCAGCTTATCTATCTTGGTACCTTTTCCCCTATACACCCAGCAACTCATTTCGATCAATGCCACCTCTTACCATCATCTCATCCTCCTTCTTTACAGAAGAGTCAAGAGATCTCTCCTTTATTTCACCCAAGAGCATTGTTGCAATGTTTGGGTGTTTATCAATAACCTGCTTCCATTCTGCCAGCTCAGAGAGGGAATTCACTGCATTCATCAAGTGCTTCGTGTTCCCAATCAAGTCAGTCCAATCAAACTCAGCTCCCACAGTGCCACCAGTCCTTCTATTCACCTCATCAACATCCTTCTTATGGTTGTTCAATTGGGTCTCAAACTAAACAGCAACTTCAGGGAATTCCAATGATCCATTTGCCATCCAAAATGGGTCAGAGCTATCCAACTCATAAGATTTCATTCCACCTTTCTCTCCTGGCACACTCAGCCTATTAAGCTTCAATCCAAGAATATCATGTACGAGCGGGTGGTACCTAAAATCATGTTGTATCCCAGCCAATAACTCAAAATTCCGATCAAAGATACACAAAATTGGACGCTGAAATGAGCTTACAAAAGCCCCACCTTCAGAAAACAAATTGTTCTTTGACAACAAATGATCCCTCAATTTCTGATCCAATGCTGAAGCAACCATCTCTGCTGGTCCACCACACGGGCATCTTATCATGGGCACCACTGCAAGTGTAGCCAAAACACAAAATAATCCACTAACAACCCTCTCTATGATATCCTCAATCTCTTTATCCCCAGAAGATGGATCATTCAATTGCACATAAGTAGACTTCTGAGACAATGAGAACAAATTATCCTCCAACGTCACAAACTCCAAATACTGATCATGAACCTTTGAAATCCTATGGATTGAATCCGAATTCAAAGTCCCAGAAGCAAGATCCTCCAAAAGCAGCCTTGTATAGATGAAGAGAAATTCAGATGGAAACTATCATAGAGAGAACACGAGGCATTGGCTACAATTCTCTGGATATTGGAATGATTAGGCTGAACAAAATACACAGCTGGCACATCATGGACAGGTTTTCGATCCTTGTCAAGAAGGAAGTAAAGGGTAACACCATGTTTCCACAGATCCTTGACATGGATCAATGGGGATAGTATATTTTGACAAAATTTGTCATAAATCAAAATCTTGTAAACCTCTTCATTAGCCGTTCCAGTGGGATTCACATGTTGGTTCAGGTTCAGCATTCAGATAATACATTATGTAAACCCAACAAAAAATTAAGGACCAAAACACCCACTAAGATCAAAGCTCCATAATGACAGATCAAATTGAACAACCCAGTAACCAAAAAACCAGACAAAACATAAAATTTTAAAAAAAATGGTGGGTTTGCGTTAGATTTTATGGATTTAGATTCAAAGAATAACAGACCAAATTCAACAAAATTTTAACAGGGTTAAAATTAGAGACATAAAAGTTTGTTCCAACGGCATCTACACTAAAATCTACATACAGAAAGAAATGGGGTTTTTGTAATTTGAGGGGAAACGAAGGAGAGAGATCAAAAGAGAGAATTTACCCGTTTGTTTTTGGCGAAGATTGAGAGCCATAGGAGACTGGAAAACAGAGCTCTAGCCAATAACAATTTCTTGCTTTGATTTAAGATAGAATTTGATAAATAATAGATTTGAACTTTTTCTTTTTTGAGAAAAATAACAAATATGAACTTTTAAATCTTAAATACGCTGGGTTTAGCAAAACATTGCAACATAGAAATAATAGGCTTAAATTTGACGAGGCAAACATTAGTCACACCAACCTTTTCGTGGGGAGTAACCCACGGTCCTCCTGATCTGCATACGTGATATGTCAATGAAAATGGCTGATCAATAATGATGGCCAAAGTCATGATTCGGGCTGACTGGCTGAGTTTAGTATTACCCTGTCCATGTCTAAATCCTATCTTCCATATTGTTGTCAAGGAATCAAGTATTATTAACTATATACTATATTTTTTTTATCACAATCGTATACGAAATTTTTTATTATATTTTAATCTGAAAATTTTGAATAAATATAAATTTTAAAAATTAAATAATTAATTAGATAAAATTATTTAAAATTATCTTACATATTAATAATTTAAATTATTCATTCAATCGTCTATATAAATAAATTTTATTAAATTTTTATGTATATTATAATATAATATTATTATGAGATATAATTTTTATTAAATTTGTGGAAGACACCTTTTTTTTTTTTTCTTTATCTTTGCCTCTAGACGCCAAGTCCCCAACCAATAAATATCACGATTGGTTTCTTGGTTTACCTGCCGTTGGATAGATCCTAAGCCTAGAAAGTAGAAAGCCTGGAAAATAATCCCTTTCTAGAAAAGAGTCAGACGGCAGCACGATTGATAAAAGTTAAAACTTAAAGCAACAAGCTCTTGACGAAACATAACTCTCAGGCCGAGAAGCAGAAATTTTGTTGATCCGCCGAGGAATGTCCTGCTTCGAGCGTCATAGGTTGACAGACCAACAGCGTGAGATCTGACTTTTGAGTTTTGATGACAAATCGATATTTTTCTCCACTATCACTAACCAACTACGCTGATCCAAGTTTCTGAAACTCTAAACTTGGAATGACGTCATTACTTGATTATATTCATTTTACTTTTAATAATTACTCTATCGCTTTGATCTTGAGCTTTTAATTTAATTGGTCATTTCAACACCTTCAAAGTGCCAGTTCCGCAGACATGGGTGCTAGCCCCTGCTTAACTTCGGGTTTGTCCCTTATAACCATAGTAAAAAGAATAAAATAACTATAACCGTGTTGCCACGAGCTTTGGTCTTTGACTTAGAGCGGGTAGAAAGGATTTATAAAAAGTTTTATAAGTGAAGTTAGGTTAAATATTTTATTGAATAAAGTAAATTAAAATGGATAGATTGAAAATTTTAATTATACAGATTAATTGTATAAAAATTTGATAAAATTTTAATAAATTTTAATATACCTATTAAATAAATATTTTTAATAAAAAAATTAATAAAATTTTTACTGTTAAATAAATATCAATCAAATTTAAATTATAAATAATATTTTTAATAATATTTTTACATTAAATTTTATCAATTTATCGATTAAAATTTTTTATTAAACTTTTTATTTATTTATTTTTAACAAAAAAATTTTACAAATTTCACTTATAAAATTTAATATAAAATTGGTCTTACGGTGAGATCGGCGGATCTGGTGTTTTAGCTAAAGATCCTGCTAAGACTTGTAGAACCCAAGACCAACAATAGAACTGGGCGGGTATTGTCATTATCGGTTAAAGATAAGTTCACAACTCAAAAGATTAGGACATGAAGTCAATAGATTGTATTTTTAAACAGTTGATAAGTTTGTAATTCAAAAGTTGAGTAAGAATGAAGAATTTTTGAATAACAAAAATCAAAGAATGATGTAAAGTGAAAGTTAAAGTAAAAATTAAACGGTGATATATAAATATAAAATTAACTAATGGTCTTTAAATTTATGTTGTTCGTCAAAATAAAAATAGAATTATGTATACAAAATTTATGTTGTAGGTTAACTAATAAGATTATGGTAAAATATCAAATAATTGGTTAGAGTCAATTATTACATCACATTCATATGTAATAGTTGGTTTGGGTCAACTCTTACATGTCATTCCTATGTAATAAGTAAGTTAATTAAAATTTTAAAAAATTAATTAATTAATTAATACGTTGAAATATTTTAAAATTTATATGAAATTAAATAAAATTAATTAAATATAAGATACGTGTTATGTATTTAAAATTGTTTATATATTAAAATAATAGATTATCTATCTTGAAATTTTCTTTCTGTAAAAAATTTTGATTTTTATATATTTATATAAAATATAAAATATAAGATATAAGATCTATCATGTATTTATGTTAAAATTGTAAAAGATGAAAAAAAATATAAATGAAATTATGCACAGATACAGTTTTGTATGTCCTTTTCGCCCTTTCCACCGTCCTTCTTTCGCCCTTTATTTTTGCCTACGGGCTCCATGTCCCCGACCAATAACTATCATGGTTGGTTCCTTGGTTAGAGATAAAAAGATCACGATAAATTTATGATTCATATATTTATATCATATAAAATATTAAAATTTATTTATTTATATTATGTTTTACATAAAAATTAAGTATTATAATTTATATTAATATAAAAATATAAAATGTAAATTTTTTATTTTATTAAATTAAATATAATAATTATTAAAATATTAAATCGTATTATTTTATATTTTATATTATGTTTATATTATGTCACTGTACTTAATATTAAATTGGAAAATCTAGAAGTGGAATAGATCCTGAGCCTAGAAAATAGAAAGTGCCGCCGAGAAGTTTCCTTGGTGAAAAAAGGCCCCTGCAAAATGATCGCTTTCTAGAAGAGAGTCAGACAGTAACACCATTAATAAAGGTTTAAAACCGAAAGGAATTGACAAAATATAACTCTCTGACCATGAAAGAGAGATCTTGTTGGCCTACCGAGGAATCTCTTGCTATACGCGTCATATAGGTCATGTCCCCACCTTCAAAGTGCCAGTTCCATAGATCTTGTGCATTAATCTAGTGCTTTAAAATCCAACTCTTTGAGAAAATTTCAAGTAATCGAAATCCTACAATGTTGCCTGTTCAATTGTGTGTCGCTGCTTTGCTTGTTGTATGCATTACTCACTGGATATATAGATGGAGAAATCCCAAGTGTAATGGAATCCTCCCTCCAGGTTCAATGGGGCTCCCTCTCGTTGGTGAGTCCCTTCAGTTACTCGTCCCCAGTAACTCGTTCGATCTTCCACCTTTTCTCAAAACCAGACTCCATCGGTAGTGCTTCAAAAATCTTGAAATCTTGATCTTGCAAATGTTGAATTCCTTTGGTGGTATTGCAATACAATGTAATGTGTTTTTATGCATTTACATTTCAGATATGGGCCAATTTTCAGAACCAGTGTGGCAGGCAGGGCTGTGGTTGTATCAGCCGACCCTGAATTCAACCATTTCATTTTTCAACAACAGGGCAGATTGGTGGAATCATGGTACTTGGACTTGTTCGCAAAGCTCTTCAAACAAGCCGAAAACAGAGCAGATGGAGCCTATGTTCACAAGTATGTTCGAAACTTGATTCTGAGTCACTTTGGTGTGGAAAGCCTCAAAGAGACACTGCTTTCTCCGTTGGAAGCAACGGTTCGTGAGACCATTAGTACTTGGTCCAACCAGGAATCCGTTGAAGTAAAAGACGCTGTTTCAGCTGTAAGTTTCTAAGATTGTTTAGCTATTATAAACATGTCTGTAAATACATTGATTCCATGCTTTCTCTCCCCTTTCAACTAAGAACCAATCTCGATCCTTTTAACTCGGTTTATGCATGTAGCATCTAACTGATTTGAAATTCAAATCCAACACCTATAATCCCTTCTCCTATCTTCCCTTTGTCTAAAAAAATAATAATAACTGATCTCTATGGCAAAAAACAGATGGCTTTTGACTTTGCCACAAGGGAGATATACAGTTCGGATGCTGAAAATTTTTCACAGAACTTAAGAGAGAAGTTCACTTGCTTATCACGTGGCCTCTTGTCCTTTCCCTTGAACATCCCTGGTACAACTTACAACAAATGTTTGAAGGTAATTTGATCCAAATTTAAACTTTCAATTTGAGTCATTTTCTGTCAATTTAGCTTATATGTCACTCTTGCTGCAGAACCGTAAGGCGGCTTTAGATTTGCTGTCCATGCTGGTAAAGAAAAGGCGTGCTTCACCTGATCAGATGCACAAAAAAGTGGATGTACTAGATCATGTTCTACAAGACATGACATCCGAAAAGTTTTTGACCGAAGATTTCATTGTTCAACTAATGTTCGGGCTTTCATTTGTTTCATTTGAGACAGTTTCAGGGGCAGCAACAATGCTTATAAATTTGCTTGGAAATAACCCTCTGGTGTTGGAAGAATTAACTGTACATACATTCGCCTCTGCACCTGAACTTCTTATCTTAATATATGGGCTGCCGATGTTTAAGTTCTTGTTAATTTGCATTAACTTGGAAGATTTGTGCTTTATTATCAGGCGGAGCATGAGGGAATATTAAAGAAAAGAGAGAACCCAAATTCCTCAATAACATGGGAAGAATACAAGTCAATGACGTTTACCCTCCATGTATGTGATATGAGTCGACCTGCATCATTCCTTTTTGGCAAAGAAAAACCTACCATTATCTCACAAACTGTTTATGTAATAAACAGGTTATCAATGAGACACTCAGGCTAGGAAGCGTATCACCAGGATTGCTAAGAAGAGCGCGGAAAGATATTGAATTCAATGGTATGCTCATACCAGACATGTATTGAGCATGAAGTAAAAAAGCTGCTTTTATGTGCTTAATGACCGTCAATTTGATTGAAGAGTATCATTTTTTAATTTGTACCATTGATGATCATCCGATCTATGCCACAGGTTATACAATTCCAAAAGGATGGGCGATTATGCTTTTGTCTTCCGCAGTTCAGATGAATCCTGAGATTTACAAGGATCCGCTTTCATTCAATCCATGGCGTTGGAAGGTGAGCAACAGCTTTTTTTTTCATACACGCATTGATCATGTTGAGCTTTCAAATTATCATTAAGTACTGATTTTTTTTTTCTCTTTGTCCATGTTACATGATCTTGAATGGGAAAAAGGACCTTGAACCAAGTGTTATTTCCAAGAATTATATGCCATTTGGTTCAGGAATTAAGCAATGTGCAGGGTCGGAGTACACCAAACTCTTCTTGGCCACCTTCATTCACGTCTTAGTCACCAAACATAGGTAATTAATTCTTGTTTAATCTCATAATTAGTTAGAGATTATAAAAGTTTTTCTCATTCTGCATATGCTTATTAAATACAGGTGGATAAAGATAAGAGGAGGAAACGTTACTCGAAATCCTATGTTGCAACTTAAAAATGGTCTCTGCATTAAGATCTTGGGGAAGAATGATTAAGGGATTGGCATCAATACTGAAAATTTTTCACATATGATGAAATTTACTATTATAAAGTTTGAGATTGCATGGCCATTATTATGTCATCAAGCAGTGTTTATGTGAATAGTATATTGTTGAATGTGAAGACTGAGCAGGAAAAGGAAAAGATCATAAAGAAGCAAAAGACAGAAAATTTAGCTAAATTTAGATTTAGTTGTAATTTGATATTTTAGTTATTGCCAATTGCACTTCTAATTTCTTTGTTGGTCCACTTTTTCACTTGTTCAAGTCAAAGTTAAACACAAGTAAGAAAGAAAGACATGAACAGGTACGCTTTATGACCAAAAATCAAATAATTTTTCAAGTCACTGTCAACTTTGATTCGAATAAATATACTAACATAAATTAGAAAGAAACGCATAGCCAGGGTTGAAGAATTAATGTTGTTTGATTTGCCAGAAAGTAACTGGATTTACAGATGGAGAAATCCCAATGCAATGGAATCCTCTCAATAGGGTCCCTCTTAACCCTTCAATTATTGATCATCCCAAAACACTAACTCATTTGATCTTTTTCTATTTATCAAATAAAAAAAAAAAAAAAAAAAAGACTCTGGTGGTATTTGAAAGGACAGAAAGAATTAAAAAGATGATTCTGTTCAATTGAGATTGACGGGATTAAAAAATATTTTATGTGAGAAATGAAATTTAAGAAAAGATATATTTGTATAGAAGTTACTGGTAGATAAGTTTATATGAGTTACACGTTGACAATAATAAATTACTGTTTTAGATAATAAAATTACAAATTATAAAAAAAAAAAAAAGTTGACACAGTAGGTTATGGCTAGAAATGAAGGACATCAATATGAATCAAATCATTTTGAATAGTCTCTTCATGAATAAAATTCAAAATTGTATCAGTATTGCAAATTGACACGCAACATGGCAGCAACAATTATCTTTGAACAAATGACTTAGATATTATAGAAAAAGTGTAGCTGATTTCAATTTCTCGAGATCTACACCCTACACAGATCTATATAGAGGCAAAAAAGCAGATCTTATCAACATATCAGAAAATTTGGCAATGGAGAGGCAGGTTGCCGTCATAGGAGCTGGTATTAGTGGCCTCCTTGCCTGTAAATACACCTTGTCAAAAGGTTTCCATCCAATTGTTTTCGAATCGCAAAGCAGCGTTGGAGGGGTTTGGACCAAAACGGTGGAGACCACAAAGCTCCAGACTCCCAAGCCACTATATCAGTTCTCTGATTTTCCTTGGCCATCTTCAGTCACAGAAGATTTTCCTAACCAACACAAAGTCTTGGACTATGTTCAGTCATATGCACAACATTTTCACTTGCTTAAGCACATCAAATTCAACACCAAAGTTGCTGGTATTGAGTATGAAGGTCCCCAGGATGAAGAGATTCAATCTTGGAGTTTATGGGGGGGCACTGGTGAGCCCTTTAGCTCCAAAGGGAAATGGAATGTCATTGTGGAAGACTTGAAAACCCTTGCAACCGAGGTATGTGCAACTAGTTCTACCATATCATAATTCAGAGGATAAACAGTGATTTATGTTGCAAAAAGGTAAAAAGAAGTTACCAGGATTCCTCTTCATGCAGCGAATTATCCCTCTGTTCTGATTGAGACATCAATGAAATTTATTACAGGTTTTCCAAGTGGACTTTGTAATCGTTTGTGTGGGGCGGTTCAGTGGTCTGCCAAACATCCCAGAATTCCCTCCAAACAAGGGCCCGGAAGCATTTCATGGTAAGGTAATACATTTCATGGATTATGCTGCCATGGATGATGAAAAGGCTGCTGAATTCATCAAAGACAAAAGAGTCGTTGTTGTTGGGTTTCAGAAATCTGCATTGGACATTGCAATGGAGTGCTCCGCTGCAAATGGTAAGTATAACTTAATCTAAACTCTTGGGATTCAAAGTTCTTTCTACATTAGACTGAATAAAGAAAAACTGATAAATTTGGTTGACTTACATATGGAAAAGGAGCTTGTGATCATGTCTCTATGTGTTTGGTATCATTCCAAGGAAATAAATTTCTTTAAATTTCAAATGGATTGCAGGGGGGGAAAATCCATGTACAGTTTTTTACAGGACTGCACACTGGAATGTCCCTGATTATCATCCTTGGGGTTTTTCACTCGCACATATGTATCTTAGCCGTTTCTCAGAGTTTATGGTTCATAAGCCTGGTGAAGGATTTCTCCTTGGTCTCTTAGCTACAATTCTAGCACCTCTGGTAAAATATTTCTTTATTTCTTTTCCCTTGCTATTTCACATTTTCTTAGATTTATCTTGCTTGCTCTGAGATTTCTATATTTTGATTTGCACATGACAAAAATCAGATGGCCTCTAGTTTTTTCCATTACCTTTCTAAGGGATGATTACTTGTAATAACTATTTGACAGAGATGGGCATATTCAAAATTTGTTGAAAGTGATATAAAAAGGAAGCTTCGGTTGGCAAAGCATGGCATGGTCCCAACACATAGCTTCCTCCATGATATCAGTTCTTGCTTGACCTCAACGGTCCCAGAAAAATTCTACGACAAAGTTGAAGAGGGAAAAATCAAATTGAAAAAGGCTCCCAACTTTAGTTTCTGTCACAATGGCGTTTTGGTTGAAGATGAGAGTACAGCTATAGAGGCAGACGTGGTGATCTGGGCCACAGGATTCAAGGGGGAAAAAAAGCTCAGAGACATTTTTGTGTCCCAAACATTTCAAGACTACATAACTGGAACCCCTGATGCAGCAATTCCACTCTACAGGTTAATTGTCTACAATTGCCTTTTGCAGGTTCAGTTCTTTAATTCTCATTATATTTCTCGTTTGATCAGGGAATGCATTCAGCCTAGGATACCTCAACTAGCCGTAATTGGATTCTCTGAGAGTATTGCAAATTTGTACACCTCAGAGATAAGATGCCGATGGCTAGCAGAACTTCTTGATGGCACATTCAAGCTACCTAGTATTAAAGAGATGGAAAAAGATGTAACAAAATGGGATGAATACTTGAAACAATACTCAGGTGAATACTATCGTAGAAAGTGCATCGGTGCTCTCCATATATGGTATAATGATCAACTGTGCAAAGATATGGGATGGAACCCCAGGCGGAAGAAGGGATTCTTTGCTGAACTTTTTGATCCTTATGGCCCCTTGGATTATGTCCCTTGAAACTTATGGCCATTACAGACAATTCTAATATCTTGCATTCCAAATTCATGTTTTCTCATCATTTGGGAGCATCAAAATGCTGCTGCTATGATCTTGTTTTTATGAATTTAATTTAGTTCTTGTTTGTTTCTTCTTTCAATAAATGAGTTTTCTTATTTCTTATTTCGTCCTCTATATTAAGGCAAAGGAAAATAGGAATTGGATGAGGAAAACACAGAGAAACAAAGATCAATTAATTCCATGAGGCTCCTCAAAAACATCCTATAGCAGAACTCTGATATTGATGCAAAGGAAAAAGAGCATTGAATTGGAAACATATAGAAACAAACATCAACATGATAAGCTCACCAAAAACACAACAGAAGCAGTTGAACGGTGACCCTGAACTGGGGGGTTTTATGAACATGCACTAAACTCAGCCCTCTCAAAGTCCTTGTGCAGGAACCACCAAGGCCCCGTTTTTTACAGTATTCTGGAAAAATAAACAAATAATAAAGAAAGATTATATTGGAATAAATAGGTAAAAAAAATGCATATACTGAATATTCTAAGCAATACTGATTTAGAATTTAAAGGGCACCACAAGTTGTTAAAGAATGGGCCAAACATACAGGTATAGAACATTGAAAACAATATAAAGAAGGCCACAGATTATTACAAAAAATTATTTGTTGAAAATGTAACTTGTGTTACCTGTGTATGCATGCAATTTCTAATATTTTTGACAATTAGCATTATTGTCATTAATTAGCTGCCAGATATTCCATGGGATAGAATTTCTATCAGTCCTTAACTGGCAGTCAAGACTCAAGTCTCCAGATAGACCTTGGAAACAAAAAACATAACTCATGACATACAAATTGATAACTGTAAAATTTAACTGACAAATCCTGCCGTCATACGCAAACCCATAAAGAGAGTCAAGCCCAACCAAACTCCTCTAAGACCAAGAACTATAGGAGCAAAGAGAAAAAATGCAGAAGACATCTAGAAATCACATAAAATAAATGTTAGAAGAAGCAAATTGTTAAGTTTTATACCTAAAATAAGGGATACTGAAATTTTTAAGAAGCAGCTTACCATAGAACAAGCTGCATATGGGAAGTCCGAGACACCATAACGGAGACCATCAAATACAAACACTAAAGCATTTATAGGTTGACTAGCACTGACAAACTATAACAATTTCAGAAGGAATCATCATACACATCTGAGGTCACCCATAAACAGAAGCAAAGAATGGGAAGAGTTTACTGGATATTGATTTGATTACTTACCAGTACCCCAGTCCTAACAATTCCTAGAACCTTAGCATCTTGGGTGAAGAAGGTGGCTAAAGAACCAAAGCATACTCCCAGGATTGCAGCCAATGAAACATCTGTGACAAACCCTAACCATAAAACCATGCACATTACGTCATTAAACGTATCAAAAGTCAGATTATCAACATAATGAATCTAGATACCCAACAAAGCCAAAACCAGAAAACAATGTGACAAGCAGAAAGCAATTGTAGGAAAATCCAAGTAAAGCTTACCTTCAACAAAAAGTTTGTAATTTCCTTCACAGTCTTTAATTCACCTTTAGATAGATAACTTGCAATCAAGGCCTACAGAAAAAGATAGATGTTAGAAAGAAGGACCTTATTTACTCACAATTCTAGGAAAGCTTAGAATGTCTTTACATGTAAAACAATGATTTACAGTCTGTATGTGTGTTTGTAACTATTACCAAGGAGCTGAATTTAGGGGATCTCGTTCAACATCAATTTACCCAAACACGGTGAAAAAAATGGGATCACTTCTTCTGGGTTTGTTGAGATGCTGTCTCACTCTGATCTCACAGATTATTTTGGTCAAAATCTCAGTAGTTAAATCACCAAGTATCGCATGGGATGATAGAGGATAAATGAGTAAATACCATCATGATAATAATTTAGAAAGATGCTCAAGAGAATTATGTACCTGACCAGATGCTGCAAGTGCATCCATAAGAAGAGATACAGCCTGCCATTCTTGCATGGGTATCTGATGAGCAGCCATAGACAGTGAACCTTGATGTGCAGCCATAGAAGTCCCCAGTGTCGATGTTATTAGCACTGCAAGAGTTCTTCCAAGAAGAAAACCACCTGTAAAAACCATTTTGCTGTAAGATATCAAAATAAATATCCTAAACAAATATATATCCAAGAACATAAAAGTGTAGACATCCTAAATAGAGAAAGGATTATGAAATGGAGCACTACAATCATAATAACAAAAACTGTTCTCTGCATAGCACAACATTCTGTATCTCAAAGCTAATAAATAATTACCAGATTTTATGTAGCTACCAAATTGCAATGTCCCGATCTTTGGGGGCAGTAATACAACTCTCTTATTTAAATACCCGATCATCAGAAAGGCAACAATGTACCCGATAACAAAAAAATATTCAGAATCATTTCAGGGAAGCACATTATTTAAGAAAAGAAGGGAATCAATGCCTGAAGCAGACATACTTACTGAGATAAAACAGTGGAGAGAGCTGCCCCAGCTACATCCATTCCAAAGCCATACATCAGTAAGGGGAAAAAGAATATGGCTAATAAATTGCCAACACCTGCATTGGAAGCAACCACATTAATTAGTCAAAAGAGGAACATAGAGAAAAGCTACCTAAAATATAAATCATTAATGACAGTAGAAAACAAAGGAAAAAAAACAAAAGATATAGAATATCCTAAAATATAAATCATTAATGACAGTAGAAAACAAAGGAAAAAATAACAAAAGATATAGTATCAAACTACTGTGTGCTTTACCCAAATCAACTCTATGCTTCTTCTATACCACTAATAGTGCTTTAATTTCCACAGTAACATTTAAAAGGTGATAAATGGTAGTTTGTAAGGAAGAAAAAGAGGAGGCAAACAATCCCAAGATGTGCATGCAAGATTGGGTCAACCAGAATAGTTAAAGCCCAAATTAGTTTAAAACAGTAATGACCAGAAGTGGATTTATTCCAAGGGGTAAAAGAGTGGTTATTACAAATGAATGCATGTTAGGATATGATCTACCCCACCCAACAATACCTAGATAATGAAAAAAAAAAAAAACTTAAAAAGAGGAAAAGGTTAATTTCAAATACTATTACACCCAGATTTTTGCATCCTTGTGTAAGGTTTGTAACTCTTCACTTAAAATGTAAATTAGTTCTACAAATTTACTGTTACTGATTATGGAAGGTCTATGCAGCAGCTTGCTACCAAATTTTGTTCTGCAGTTAAATGACAAACAAAGTTTATACGCACATAAATTATATTACATGTATTCTAAGATATGTGGTCAACAAAAAGTAGACATAAACAGAGCTCATTCCAAGCACACCCCTTCAATGTCAAATCAAATACTTGCCTAAACAAAAAAACAGGAGTCTTTGTATCTTTAAATCCAAGAAAAATGCCTTGAAGAGCCAAAGTGACTACCGCAGCGGAAGCACCAAGAGCTCACTCTAAGTGAAAGAAACCATTTTGCTGGAGCATGCATATCTGATGTCTGTTAAGAGGATAAAAACAAGAAATGAAACTTCCACGTTAATAAGTATTTTAGCAAAGAGGGAGCAACAGAGGAATGGCTAAAAGATAGCAAAATAAATTTACAATAAATCTAAACTTACTGAGGGTACTCCCATCAACTTAAGAAATGATCCAGACCCAAAAGATAATGCCAAGGCCTCAAAGATGCCGCTAGAAGTAAAGCTGTAGACACCAAGGATAATTGCTTTCTTTCAGCTACACTATCCAGAGGCTTACCATTAGCACTCTCCACTTCAAAGTAAAAAAAAAATAGTCAAATAACAGGTAAAATGTTCAGTCATCTTAAATCTGGTACCATAAAGTAGAAACACCATTAACCAAAACCATTATGCATCAAATGTCTCCCTAAATTAACCTGCTGACAAATTTTCAATTGCATTACTTGAGATGTCTTCAGCCACGAAGGATGTAGCGACACTAAGGAGAGGAATATTAAACAACTTTGATACTACGTTAAAAACTGATATGGAAACACCTGCAGAAGCCAATGCCACGGAACCTGCAGAAACAACAAAAAGAATCTGTCCATAAATAAAATAAAGCATTGATTTTCAAATTTTGAAGCCTGAAATTGGGTGCTCTAGAGGCAGATTCTATCAACCTTTCAAATTTTCAATTACTTGAAACTACATGAAATCAATATAAACATACAATTTTTTTATTTGGGAACAAAATTTATTTTTGAAGCAGCAATATGTTACAATTTGCAATAGAGATCAGAGTAATATAAAGCATGGTTATAAAATCAATTATTGGTGCTTATAGAGAAAAGTATATACTTCAGAAAACTAACATTAGATTAAAAGATGAACAACAAAATCAAGAGTCAAAAAACCAAATTGTTAGTCTATTACCAAAGGACAACATTGTTAGCATCATAGAATCAAAAGAAGGAAAGTAGCATTATTTTTGTGATTAAAGCAATGGCAACATTAGATCATACTCAGTCTTCCAATATATACTGTCTCCATCAGCTGTGCTAAGGGATCAATAGCCTGTCCAGCAATTGCAAGCAGAGAAAGCATAATAAGTTCCCTCTTGACATCTACAGACGTCCCTGTCACCTCACTGCATATTTAAACTAGCAAATAAGAATTAGCAAAATGGAGTTTCAGAGTCCAATCATAAAGGAAGATGCAATAATGAAGCAGAAATAGAGTACCCAAACTATACTTGAATTTGATAATGTCAGCATGAATGATATGTTATTTTACATCACAGACCATGTAACTTCCACTAATGCTTAAAGTTTACTTTACCATTATGCTAGAGGGGAAGAAAACACTAAATTACAGAAATCAAACCCTATGATTTTCATAGGCATTATACAAACCAACCTACATCAAAACTACATATCGCCTAAAGAATATATATATATATATATATATATATATATATATCATACACACGCACTAAGGAAATTAACTCTACCCACATTTCTATACAACATTAAAAACAATATAACTACGAAACAAATAGACAATGGGTCATAAAAATCTTACCGGACATCAACATTTTCAGATGAACTTAAAAGGGCAGTACCCTCTTCTTCATTCAACGCAAGTCTCTCCTCGACATCTTCCACACCAAGATCAGAACTTAACTGATTGCGAAACACCGGAAAACGGGGATTCCTACGTGCCACTAATGGTGACAACAATGAATTCTTATGTACTGCAGATAGGTGGCAGTTTCGCGCACCATCTGTATAACGTAATTCCTGTCTAAATTTACAAAATTTAGTTTGGTTTGATGAAGAATGGGAACTCGTAGACTTGTTAGTCTCGTTCCATGCCCTCTTTCTATTTGTCAATCCACTTGAAACTGTGGGCCTTTGAGTCTTGTGAGTGTCATTGCCAGGGATTATCAGCTTCTGTAGCTATCAAACCTGAAAATCACATAAAAAAATTAGAAAAAAAATGGAATCTTTATTTCAAATAAGAACTTTACCTTTAACAGAGCAAGATAAAAAGAAAAATTGAAAACTAGTAAAACAAGAGAAATCTCCCGACAGATTTTGTGTTTGGTTGTCGAGAAAACGAGGCAGATGAAAAAGAAAAGTTTGGAAAAAAAAAAAAAGGAAATTTACCGTTCTTTAAGGTAAGGGGAGGTGCGTAGAGTTTTAAAAATGTTAAGAAGAATCCAAAAAAGAAGAGAGAAAGAAATGTTAACCTGCTTATCGTATCGCCATTGACGGTACGGAAAGAAGAGAGAAGTGGTTTCAGCAGAAACACTTGCAATGGAAAGTGAAACTAAGACGCGGATAATCAAACTTATTTTGATAGTGGGCGTGGATTGTAAGCTATCGCTTTTTGGGCCTCCTTGGCCCAAATGGTTTTGGACATTTAGTGAAATTGGGCCTACACAGACCAAGAAAAAAATCCTAATTAATTAATTTACTAAAAATTTATTATTATTTTATACAAATTTTGTTTATATACACTTTCTTGAAATTTTTTTAATTTTTATTTTTATTTTTTAATATATCAAGAGTATATACCATCCTATTAACCCGACTTATGAATTTGAAAAACTCCACTAATCATGAATAAAATAATTTTTTATTTATTATTTAATTATACTTTATTGTGCTTCTTTGTATATAAATATGAGGTTGAAATTCGTTGTATTTTTTTATTATAAGATTTGTTGGGAATTGAAGCTCCATAACTGTCATTAAAAGTATGGTATTCTATCAAAAGATACTATAATTAAAAAACTATGTTTGATTGAATAAGGTGACTAATAAAAATTATTTGATATTGCAAGTTGTTAGATTAAAAAGCAAAGAGGTAGCATTAGATATCAATTAGCCTTGCAAATTGTTTCTTTTATTCAATTGGCTTTGCAATTAGTATTTGTTTTATCCTTCCAATCCTCGTACAATAATTTTTTATTTTAAAAAAACGTGGGCAGTGGGCACCCATAAGAAAAGTAATTATAACTTTTGAAAATAGAGTAGAGTTAATAATTTATGTATTTATATCTTATAAAATATTAATAATTTATATAAAAATTATGTATTTTAATTTGTATTAATTTAAATATATAAAATATATTTTTTATATTTTATTAAATTTATTATTAATTTTTATTAAAATTTTAAATTATATTATTTTATATATTTTATTTATATTATTTTCATGTCGTGTTATAGTTTTATAAATTATCAAAATTTAAAGCGGAGTTGCAGTTGACAGTATTCAGAGAAGAACCTTGAATTCCGCAAATGTCAGAATAACCTTTTAATTTTCACAAGAATAATTGCTGATAAAAGATTAAGCATCAAAATCCAATTAATTCAGGGCCAACACTTCCATAAAAAATCTTGAAAGAACCAATCTCATAGGCTGAAAATAACATATGCATATGGACCATGAAGACAGTAGCCAACGTGTTCCTTTTTCAGAATTGAAAGAGAATGGACTACTTTTTCTAGAAAAAAGTTGCACAAGTTTTTGAGACCACTCTTCAACTAAAAAGGCTTTTTTCACTAAAGTCATTTGCCTCACCAAATCAAAAAAAAAAAAAAAAAAAAAAAAACCAACTTTGCAGTTCTCTGCTTCGGTTACAACATTTTTTTTACTGGAAAAGATGGAAAGAAAACAAGAACAAAATGGAAAGAAAGTCCCAATTCAAACTGATCCTTGAAACATCATTGCTTGGAGAAGATGCTGTTCATCCAAAAGTGAGAAACAAAAGATTGTGAGTGCTGGATTAGTGATAATCATAAAAGCTTTGAAAACTGGTAGGGGTCAGTAACATTATGGACAGGTAAACGTAATTTGTTTGAACAATTAAGCAGAAATGGAAATACCGAAAATGGTCCCATAGATTTTGAAATTTGGCAGTGGAAAGGATTTGAGAGACAAATAGCCACATGCATGAAAAAAATGTCTGCCAAATTAAGACAGCTTAAAGAGTTAACATTTACTTGAACAAGAGGAGTCCTGAACAAGGCTCGTGAAGATGATTGAGTTGTTGAAGCCAGCATAGGAACATGTTGATCGATTGCAACCCGAAGTGTTACTACTGCCAAGGGATAAACCTTCACATTGCATAGGTGGGCATGCATCCCACTTGGATGGTTTGTTCCCAGATGGTTCACAATTTAATCTGACCAAGCCATAATGATACACATAATCAGGTCCCAAAGACATTAGCAAATTGAAAGGCCAAAGTCCTTAAAGAATAAGACATTTGAAGATATACTTACGTCCAGTTGCTGGCAGCATCACATGTGCATCTCACACAACCATTAGCAGTGAAGACGTATGTGCCATTAGAAGCAAGTAAGGGATAGTCCAACGAGTCAGTTGTAATTGATGAGTTGCAGGCTGTAAAAAAAAAAAATGAAAAACTTCAAATTAATTTGACTAGGTTCTAAAGCAGACAATCTTTTGGAGATAAAATGAAAGATTTCCTGCTATGATTGATCTCACAAACTGATTGAAGCCTGAATAGTAGTAGGCCCAAATACCCAGCTAGCAGGATTGGAACTGGACAAGAGGGTAAGAACAGAAGAACTGAAAAATATATAAAACCTAAATATCGTAGGATTCTCTTGGTGGGGCAAAACAAAAAAATGGAATCATTCAAACAATATTTACCATGTCTATCTAAAAAAAAAAATCAAAATAATTAGTATAGTATATGACAAACAATCACTGCCAACTGCCAAGCTCTCTAATAGTAAAAGTTTTAACTATGCAAACTACGATATTTCTGCCATCACCCCCCTAAAAATATCATGGCTACAGAGGATGAAAAGAACCCGAAATGTAAATCCAAGGGATGAAGAGATATTTCAAATACTAAAATCCAAAGCTATTCAGACCATATGTCCAGGTTCATTGCCTAATCTCTAGCCGTCCCACCTTTTCACCTATTCCACCAACATATCAAGCCCAAAGCCAAAATACTGTTAACATAAGTTATTTTAATGGCAGGTTTTAGTTTTTAGCAGAGGGGTAAAACAGAAGTTACCATACCTTTGAGAGGAACATCAATTGGTTGGTTAGCTATTAGCTCATTTTCGGCTTTGATCCCATTAATCTTAGCCAAAGTCTCCTCATCAGTTCCAAACTCCCGAGCAATCTCCTCCAAAGAACTCCCTGACTTCACCATGTGTGCGTAATGCACCACTCTCTCGCCGTCCACGTCATCACAGCTACAAGGCAACGGGATTTTCAGCTCCTGTCCAGGCGTTATCAAATCGGGATCCGGAATGCCATTGGCGGCTTGAATTTGCCGGAACTGCACTAACCGTGAGAATACTTCAGTTGCTATGTGGTCAAGCCCGTCACCTGCTTGAACTTTGTAGATTGGAGCCCCGCTGGACGTTCCAGTGTTGTTGTAGCAAACACAATTGATGGGGACTTTGATGACTTGTTGTGCCGGTATGGTGTGGTTGCGTGGAGTGTAGAGAGGTAAGTTGTTGGCTCCGAGGAGATTCCGGAGGTTCTTGACGTTGAAAAGAGATTGAATGGCACCGAGGTTGGTGTTGTTGACGGTGATGTAGCCGACCAGGGCACGACATCCAATCGGGGAGCTACAGTTGAAGCTTTGAGCAGTGGAATACTCGAGGTTACTGAGAGCTGAGAGCAATATTGGAAGGAGGAGAAACAGTTTAGCAAAATCCATGTTTCTTTTTGCAGCTGCTTCTAGTTCTTTGTTAGTTTGGTGCATGAGAAGAAAACCTGCAACCGTGTAGATGAGGGCTTTGGCTTTTAGGGAACCATTTGACCATTTTGACTGCGGAGAGATTGGAGTTTCAACAGTGTCGGCTTGACAAAATTTGCCTGAGCGTAAGTTTTGCTTTGATGGAAACCGTTTTACTACGGTTTTAGATTTTACTTTTCCTGCAGCAACTTGGGTTCTCTTCTCTACAATGTTTTCTTTGTTGAAAAGTCATTATCAATGAATGATGATTGAATAAAGCCATTGTGCCTATCTTATTTCCCAGCTACATTAGAAGAATAATCCGAATTGTTGTCAATTGATTTTGAGAAAATTGCCAATTGACTTCCACAGTTGCATATTTTTAAAAGAACAATTAAAAAAAACCACATATAAATAGATAAAAACATGCGAATAGCTCGAATTTTTCTTCATTTGTGTTTTTGGTCTCGTGCAGCTTACGGGTCATATTTTATGTACACATGAAATGGACGTAACTGGGCCAGGCCAGCTGATCATTGCCGCCATTATACTGTATTCTTTTGATCGAAAAGCCGAAAAAAAAAACACACACACACACACACACACAAACAGTTCCAAGCATCAACCAGATGTACAGGAAAAAAAGACTATGAGTGCTGACCAAAACCACCGACTAATTCTAAGAAAAAAAAATCAGCATACAACAAATGGGAAATTAAGTGAGCAGATATGCCTCTCGTTATCGATGAAGACAACTAAACAAACGTACATTACGGTATCACTTTTCTTCCAGTCGCCGAAGCACAGATTCAGCAAAGCTTTGTTGTCTGCAAGTGTAAAATGAACCATTTAGACTACTATTCTTAGTTCCATAAACCAGCTCAGCAATTCAAAGCATAAAAGTAAAAAATTGAAGAGCATGAATGAAATGATGATAATTGAAAGACTTCCAGGTACTGGAAACTTTGCAGCAAATATTCAATTCATCTAAAGTAATAAAATGACAGAATCACAAATGTAATAGCCTATGTTTATGAAACAAAAATAAATAATATAGCAATATAATCTTATTATATAAAAAAGTTACTCAAAATGGTGTCCTTATCCTGAGTAAGTCAAGGACTAGGAAATCCTGTTGTAAGGGTTGGTTAACAAGGACAAGGGACCTAGTTGCAACCATGTTGATAAAGTATTTTAAATGGTAACTTGGATGCACTGACATGAGAAGCTATATCTTTGTGGTATTAACAACAGTACCATGAACTACCAAGAACGACCTCATAGTTCCAGCTACCATTTAAGATGCCCCAGGCGTTTATGCACTTAAACGTGATACTAGGAAAATTAGATATTAGTGAATGCCATCAATATAAAACACAAATGAAGATCTAAAGATATCAGATGTTATCACAACCAGGAACAAGGGAAAGGAATAGGAGAGGATTGTCTTACTTTCGTTCTGTATGCTTAGGGCTAGGACGAGAGTACTTCAAATATCCATCCCATGGAACCTTTTTAAGACCTGCTCGGACAGATATTATGTCTCTTACCCTGTATAGAAGGATATCAGAATCAAAGCTATTGCTTTCTAGAGGACGACACAGAGCCAAGTTTGTGTCTATAAAAGATAAGAGATGACATAAAACTTGTTAACTGGTGCCATTAAGTACTGATCGAAACTAATTAAGAATAGTACTTACCTCTCTGCAAATTCAATTGGTGTTTCTCCAGGTTTTAGATTTTGGGGCTCTAGGTACCACACGTCACAAACAACAGCCCAGGATGTCATAAGCTGCAACAGATGCATTGTGAAGGACTGCCTGCATGAAATGTAATATTGGTAAGACATCAGAGGTATCACAAACCACAAAACAACAAATCAATGATGACAAAACATGCAAGTCATTTTATAGTTGTGCAGGAACAGCTGAACACTTGGTGATCAATTGCTTACTTCCGGCTATTCCAAAATGCATCAACAAAAATTTTATTGTACTTGATTGCAATCGGGCAAACTGTGCAACCAAGTTCAAATGCACCCTAAACATCATCAAAGAAACCAAGTTAAAGAAAGTAGGAACCATGTGAAAGGAACAACGTAGGCAGTTCTCCCAAAATACTAACAGCTATACCTTCTTAAACATAACACTATATTGATTGTTTACACAGGTCCCTTCAGGAAATATAAGAAGAGGATTATTGTCAACCCCCTGAATATGATCCCTTAACCTGAAATTCAGAAGTAAACACAATCATGAGAAGGAATACATATTGAAATAAAAATTTTCCCTACTCTAATTGCACTTACTTCTTTGCTACAATTTCACGATCTTTCGCCTCTGAACGGTTAAACCAAATACACCCTACACTCTCTAAAATAGTGCTCTGTATAAGTCCTGTATGTAAAAGAAAATCAAATAGATTGTTTCATTCTCAATATACACAAGATATTAACCTAATTCTCACTCCTCCAATACTGCCATCAAAATCTATTTTTAATAAAAGAAAAAGATAGCAGAGCACCTGGAATTGTGTTCTTTCAACTTAAAAAGATGAAAAGCTGCATCATAAAGTTATTCAACATCTATAGTCCATAACAGGCATCATGAAAACTATCAAACCAAGCAGCAAGGACATGCATTTCTCTGTCACCAACATTTGTGCACCAGTAAAGATCTTTGTGAATAAGAGGGCCGTTTTGCACAATAATAGTAATTGTGTACTGTATAGCCATAAAATCTTGAAGCTCATTCCAACAGAAATAATGGAGAAAATTTAGCAAACACAAAGCTATATATTTCTCCATAGGGATTTTCTTATGAAAACATAAAAGTAAGGAATTCTATAATTTCAACATCTAATATGAAATGTTGAGTGACAGGCTGTAACTGATGAGTTTTAAAACTGACATACAACCAGATGTAATGAAACGTGATTCAGGAAAACTCGGAAAAGCATGCAACAGAACTAATCAGCTAACCAAGAATCCCTACCAACATTAATTCTATAAACATCATTCATAAGTATTTTGCACTACTACTTACCAACCCATCCAGGGTGCTTCTGCATAATCACAGCAAATGGAGTCATCTGTTCTAATATGATGAAATCAATCATAGAAGTATGATTGGCCACAAACACCTGTTAAATCCATGGAAGGAATGCTCAGATACATTTTAATTTTGAAAGATACACAGCCTAAAAAGAGTACTACAGAATCAGACCAAAACCTCAATGAAATAAAAATTAAAACAAAACAAAACAAAAACTTAGATACAAACAAGGGAACTAGGAAGACCATAAGGAGTAGAAAGAATAGTCAGCTAAACCTGCTTGGGCCGCATGCTAGGCCGTGGTCCATGGTACTTAACCACTCCAGTCCAGGATGCAACAAAGAAGCTGCAGAGGAGCTCCACCAGAAACCTCTGAAAAGAAAATATAATGAACTTAATAAGTTTAGGCATAAACTTTGAATGAGATAAATGTGCTAGAATACAGGTAAAGCACAAGTTGCCTGTTTAGAATTTTAAACCTTTTCTTCCTTCATAAGTATGGTATAAAACCACCACACACACATACACATATACAGAGACAAAAGAAAGACATAAAAGCTGCACAAACTCGAAATGCATAAAGTTCACACCTCCATCTTTTCCCGCAGCTTATCGTGCCCTTTGAGTAGAAAGTGTACAGGAATGACAGATGACAGAAATAATATCCATCCTATCGTCAAAACTATAACCCTGCAGATTTAACAGCATAATGGAAACTCAGAAACATCGCGAGTATTTCAACATATAACATGCTACCTACTAACCTCTAAAGCTGACGTAAGTAAACCTATTCAAACAAAAACCATCATGCATTAAACAATTAGATATTACTTTTGAAAAGCATAATGGCTAACCTCACAGGGAATAAAACCAAGTACCGAATAGCCACACCAAAACACCACAGAGGAAACAAATACACATTCCAGTTCCATGGTTCAGGAGGATTCGACTTAAAACACCGAGTGAATGAATCCTGCCCATTGAGTACACAGCTATAATCAGTTAAATCTTGAAAAATCTTTCACCAGATACTTCTACTCAAGATCAAAACTTTAGCGTAAATAAGAACACGCCAATCATTTTTCTTTTATTAAAAATTACTAGATAATTCAAATTTAACTCACACTCAAACACAAAATATATATAAAATCAAGAATTTTGTTATTCACAAACTATTGGTCTTCGCTTTCGTTAATCATTTTCCCGGGAAACATGCAGACCTTTATAATAAATGAGGAGAGGAAGAGAGAGATTACATCAACTATGGCACCAGCAGCTTCAGTTAAAGTGGGAGAAATATCAAGTAAATCCCGTCTGAAACCAATTCAAAAACCCTAATCATTAATTAACTGATTTTCAAGAAAAAAATCGAAAGAAAAGATGGGGGAAGTGTAATTACAGACGAAGCTTGCCGCGGGGTTCATGAATGGAGGATCCGGAAGGGAGATAATCTTCGATGTTGGGTCGATCCAAGTCCAATTCGGAGCTCGATGAGCTCAGCTTCCCTTCAATACCGCTCATTTCTTGTTTTCTTTTCTTTTTTGCCTTCCTGCGCCGTGGTGTGGTCTAAATACTCTGATTTGGTTTGTGGGATTTTGTTTGGTTTGGACTTTTAAAATTGGGTTTTTTTCCTTATTTATATCGATAAAACCAAACAGAAATTTATTTATTTATTTATTTATTTATTTATTTATTTAGTCTACACGCAATACAATGAAAATTCAATTCCCGTATGTTTTAATGCTGTTTTTTTAAGAAAATATGAAATTCAAAATTTTAAACTTTTTATTTCAAAAGAAAAACTTCAATAGCTTTTTAATTGTAGTTTATCTACACAATTAAGTAGATTTTATAATTTAATATGACAAAAATATATTAAATAATATGATTTAAAATTTTAATAATAATTATAAATAAATTTTATATTTTTTATTGACATAAATTATAATACATAATTTTAATATAAAATATTATATGAATATATAAATTTTAATATTTTAAATGAGATAAATATTAGAATTAATAGGTTTACATGTTTATTTAAAAATAAGAAAGTTTTCTTTTTTTAGATAAACTTTTTTATCATTTAAGCTAACTTTAATTTATGAAAATTAGTTATAGTAATATTAAAATTTTATTTTCATCAACAAGGTAAATTCATAAATCAAACTCAAGACCTTTTCCTTCCTTTGGTTTATTAATAAAGAAATTCCAACAAAAATTTATTTAAAAAAAATTTATTTGTAAGTTTAATAAACTAGAAATCCAACAAAAATCAACAGAGAGAGAAATCATGATTTTTTTTTTAATTTTAGCAGACACCCAATGAAAAAAAAATCAATAAAAAATTATTTTTAGGTTTAATATAACTCACCATTTTTGTCCCTTTTTTTAATAGAAACATCCAAGGACCAAAGTCCACATCCATTGGGTACAAAATTACCAAATAATAGAATCCTACTTCTCATTAATTTATACAAGAGAAACCATTAACCTTCTTTTTTTTTTTTTTTTTTTTGGTTCTTATTCAGATTTCAGACCATTGTGATTTATTATTTTTTTAATGATTAATGTACCTTTCTTCTGATAGCAGCTATTCTTGTTCCACCTCACTCTCTCTTAATGGCACCCCAAATTTTAAGCACTTGGACTCCTTCAGAATACTTAATGAAGAGAAGTGTCTTTCTCGTTTGGGCCTCAAATTAATAAATTATTTGGTATAAATCGTAATCTACTTCAATTCAATGAACGGCGCAGCAAGCCTGGGTTCAAAGTATGTATGTAAATATATATATATATATGTATATATATATATATATGTAAGATGTCAATTTAAATTAATATAAAATTTTTAATTTTACAGTTATTAATTTCAAAAAAAATTAATCTCATTTCTTAAATTTATTAAAATTAATGATTCTTTTTTCAAATTTCTAATATAATTTTAAACTAAAGAAAATATTATAAGCCTAAATTCTCTCGAACTAATAATTTTAAAAAAATTATAATAACATACCAACTAATTTAAGGGATAATTGACAATTAGTGATTAAAAAAATGTAAAATTTTTGTGTAACTTGATTTATATATATATATATATGATAATTCATGTATTACAATTTATATATTAATATCATATTTTATAAAAAATTATATATCATAATTTATGTACATATAAAAAAATAAAATGAACATAAATAAAAAACGACTGCTTGATAGAACCAGTAAATGTTTTTGAACCATGTTTCTTTCTTGTACTAATGCTTTATTTTTATAAATGCTTGTTGCTAATTTGTCAGGGGTTTTTTGGGCAATATCCAGTACCTATACTTCAATTTATATGAAAAATAAAAGGAATTGTTGTGAATCGATTACAAGTCAAAATAAAAAATCAAATAGAATATTCATTAATCAAATCATTCACTTCATAGTTTAATAAATTTTTGAAAAATTGATTAATCGGACAAGAATAGAGTCCCATTCTACGCATATATATCAATACCGATAACAATAAAATCTATAATAAGAGAAAAATTCATTGTCTTTAACCCTAGAAGAGAAGTCTCCAACAAGAAACGCGTACATGGACACACAGGTTAGACATGCATAAATTGTATCGTGGGACGTTGGTTTCATGTTTATGGCAGAATACTTGTTATTTATCATGGGATTTTGGTATTTAATCAAGTTTTCTTTTGGTGTTAGGATATAGCTCGATTGTCATTTATAGCTTTACGCAAATGAGAACATTAATGGCAAGCTTCTCACATTTGCCGGTCCTCGTGCTTGGATAACCCAAGAGGTATATGAGAATCTCTATTGTTGATGACCTGACATTCCAGTGCTGCTCTTTCATACTCTGTGACCTTTTCCTGGTGAATAATTTGGAAGATAGCGCAATGTTTTAGCTTTCTCTTCTACTCGTTTCAATCATGCTGCATGAAGCAGTATGCTGATATTAAATACTTCTCATATGCTTGCTTAGAGCCTTGTCAAGGGCACTAATGTTGGGCACATTGCTGGTCTTCTCCGCTCCAATGGCAGAGACGTATAGTCTTCATGGTGTCAATTCGAAAGACATAGTTACTCTGGAAAAGTATCTGCAGGTTACAACACAAAAGTTTTGAAGAAATTCAAATGCCTTAAAGCTCAATCAAAGCAAACTGACATCATTTTTTGAAAGAAGACATACTTTTAATTGCTGTTTTAACTACAGACAAGATACAAACTCAAGGTAAAACCTATGCCTCCATCCTCACATATTCATAGTAAGTTACCCTGAAATTTTAACATGGTTTAACCAGAACCCAGCTGAGTGTTAACCAAACTTTGACATAGTTTAACCAGAACCCAGATTTTAACCCTTGAAAAGCAGCCAAGGAAAAGGAAATTAGAGGAGAAAAATCATACAGCATTCATGTCTGAATGAATTGGTAGTAATCTTCTGGACATTGTGTTAGAATATCTTAGCTCTGGTCCAAACATGTTAATATAGATAATACAATCTGTAGCCCAGCCCATCAAACATTGTTAGGCTTCTACACTCATAGGATGAAGTGGAACCTTTCAAAATCTACCAAGCAAGTTTTTGTTGAATATTTTATACACATGTTGATTCCACGGCTGGATTTTGCTTTTCATGGAATGATGTTCAGGAGATTCTACAAAAAGAAATTGGGAGCTCTAGCAAGTTGTTGAGGCAGTGGTTGAGAAACCTCTCTTCTCTTCTCCGTGCGGTGGTTAAAAAAGTAGGAGTAATGATTGCAAGGGTGGACCTTTCTTCTTTTTTCATTTCAGGGTGGTTCATTCCAAACAACCTCAATTGTCAATTGGCCCTTCATTCAAGTATTAGGTTGGGCCCCAATTTGTGCATTTCAAATTTTCTCGTTCCAACAAAATTCAGTTCTAAGTGAATAACAATTGCCTTTATTTGATGTGTGGTATAAATTTAAGTGAATAATAATTTGAGGCAAAATATGACGGTATAATTGCCTTTATTTTGTCTTATATGAGGGCCAACATTGTTTTGTAAGTCAAAATGAAGGGACACTAATGCAAAGAGAAAAAAAAATAGTGAAAAAAGGAGGAGGCCAGTCACCAATGCAGTATGCTAATCTATCCATCACAATCAAAATTATTATACTTCCAACATTATGTGACTTTGCTTGAAATTTGATCCAAAAAAAAAAAAACTTGGCTTGAAATCAGTTTTCCTTTAGGATTTCTCCAATTTGAGATGAACCTTGAAAATATAGGGATCAGGAGTTGTGATTAAGCAGGTATGTGTCATTACAATAAATTAATTAAAAAATAATGTTTTCAAATCATTATTAAAAATAAATTAACTTTCATATCAAATAATTTAAATTAAATCCAAATAAAATTTTGGAATATTCTTAACTTTATTATAAATAAAAAAGTGAATTTGATATACTTTTAAAAGAAAACTTGATAATGCCTTGGGTCATGTATATTTTAACCCGTTTACAGTAAATGTGAGCAATTAATCATTTTGATAGGTTTAGTTTGAAAAAAATAATAATTGAATTAATCAATTTTTATTTAACAAATAATTGAATTAATTAAAAAATTTTAAATAATGAATCAAAATTGAACCAATCAAAATCAATTCGGTTTGAAAAAAATTAATAATTGAATTAATCGATTTTCATTTAATAAGTAATCAAATCGATTGAAATTTTTAAATAATCAACTATAATCGAATCGCTCAAAATCGATTCAGTTCGATTAAATGATAAAATTTATTATTATTATTTTATATTATAAATAATTATTTAATTATAAATTCAATCCTATAAAAATTAAATTCAAATATCATTCAAATTAAATCATTAAAAAATTTAATAATTTCAATAACATTTTATAAGAAAAAAATAAATAAATATATTTATTTTTATTTTTTTATTTTTTTTAATTATCAATTTTAAGAATAAAAAATTAATTGATTTAATTAATTTAATCGATCCAAAAAATTAATTATAACTAAAATTAAATAAATGACCATTTTTCATCGTTTTGATATGTTAAGTCGGTTTAAACCGATTTCGCTCACCCTTACAAAAGAGGTTGCAGAAAGTCCTTTGCTGGGAGCAAAATATGGACCAATTTCAGGGGGTTTTTCAAATGGAATGACTGTAAATTTAGTCAGAACATTCAAGTTCCTCCCTGCATGGTTTATCTTGCCTTTGACTTTCTTTCCATATGTCATTTGAGAACTACAAATAACGAGATTGGCAGATTCCAAAGCCCTTCACTGGCTAGTGCAAACTTTGTACCAATCATTTCAAAACAAAGCACCCAAACTTAGTAAATCGCCCAATCCTTGAAGTACTTATAAAATGCCAAATACCCACCAATCGTCTCTTCTCAAAAGTACTATTACTACAGCCTTTGTTTATATGTGGTGGCCACTGGGGTCTGGGCTCCCATTTGTCCTTCCAATATTGGACCTTGATTTTGATTCAAGGGTAGGTATTCAAATCCTATAAGACCATTATGGCCAAATTCTCTCACCATTGTCTTCTGTGGAACAAAAGGGGATCCCTCTTTTAGGGATTCTACAACAAAAAGTTTTCCTAATTGGAAGGACAGTGTGCATATT